TTAAATAACTTTTAAAACCAATAATAGTAAAAGTATAGACAGTTGCAACACTATAAATAGATGTGTAAAATATCGATAAAAATTTCATACCGAAAATAGCCATGCCATGGAAGAATAATATTAATAAGACTATTCAATATGACCTTATATTACTTTTAATAATCACGTGAAGCGATGTTCCATAATGCTGTTGTTCTTCAAGTTTTCAGCCTTTAATCAATTTTACAGGACCTCTAGAATGATAGTTAACTTTTAATGAACAATACTAGTGATGTTTGTAACAAATGTATGACTATCGATACGTGAATTATTACGTATGAAATATCGATCTGACGTTAGTTGAACGATATATAATTTAGAGCTTTTTTCGGTTCCTCAAAGGCTTAGAAAATAGATGCAACAGAAAATTAAGTACTTTGATTCTAGAATAAAATTTTGAATCAACAAAGAATATAATATATACATACATTATCTTCAAAAATACCCATTTAAAACACACGAAAATATAAATGGTGACATTATAAAACGTAAAAAATAAAGCCAAAACTTAACTAATACTAGAAGTCGTTTTGAGACTGTTTGAATAAAATGTGATAAATCGTAGTGTAACGTATGTTTAATGTGTATGTTGTGTATGTTATAAAGCAGCATCAGTGACGTGTTTTACATTTTAAATAAAACGTTACAAATAGAGATGCCGCGAATAGTCGAATACCGATTAATCGCCATTCCCTATGGCGAATAGTCGAATAACTCGCTATTATTATTCGACATAAAAAAGGAATATTAAAAACAATTTTTTTGTTATCAAATAATAATATCACCCGTGTAGTAGTCTTAAACTTATCTTCAATCATTGTTACTTAATCTAAAAAATTCTTATGTGAAGTATGAGAAAATAAAACAATTAAGTTATAGAAATCAATCTCATATTACACTGATGCAGACAATCCTTTTCTTGTATCTTTTTTACGGGGAATACTTCGTTTTGTATAACCCAGCGTTTAATACTGTAGGGGATTTCCCGCCCAATCGATTTCGTGATAAATGATGCATTAAGAAACAGTCCCCCAACAACAGAAATTCTGACTAATGCCAGCAGCATTTTGACACATTTCAATGACTCAGGATGTACAAAACATGAAAGTATTCAATCTGAACTCAGACTGTCTAAACACATAAACTGATTCAAGATATTCAAACTGGCTGGAACTCAATATATTACCTAAGAATATTTTTCTTACATTACATTATAAAAGAAAAACTTAAAATTGATAATTTTTAAGTCTATAGTTTTTTTATCAATTAAAAGTTTATTTTAGACAACTATTCGCCGAGTCGAATAATACTAGCTACTATTCGGTATTCGACGAATAACAAAAAAAAAGTCGAATAATGCCGAACACCGAATTATAAAGCGTAAGTATTCGCGGCATCTCTAGTTACAAAACATAAAAAAATATAATAGCGTTTATTGCTAAGAGTTTTCTTACAATTGATTTGTGCTTTTAATAAGTTACAATTTATATTTAAAAAAGAGTACAGGCAATGCTAGCTAATTACATTATAATTAGCGTGCAGAAGGTTTGCCGATGATCATACCTCCCAGTTCAGACAACCGCGTCCCGCGCTTCGTCTGCCCTTAACTAACTTAAGTTGATTTTTGACAATCGTTAACGCTAGTATAAAACTATAAAGAATTACGTATTTTACCACGTTTTTATTAAGTCACTCTCTTGTTTGTCTGTCGTTCCGGATGGAATCGTACAACTCAAATTTCGAGCACTTCCCGGTGAACTAGAGACTTGATATTTTGAACGTAGCTCAGAATCGGATGAAAATGCAGGAATATGAAAAAAAATTATTTTTAAGTACATTTAAAAAACTCACTCGTTTAATAAATTTTTTACCATGTTACCAGTTATGAGGTGTTTTTAAGTTTTAAGTTTCAAGACAGTACTTTAAAATCGATTACTATATTTGTACTAAACAGACAAGCAGAGAAGAAAGCGAGTTATTGAAAATATAGTTAAAAAAATAAAGTGCAATTTTGAAGTAAAACTTCTTTTTATATTTTAAGATTATTTTTACCCCATTTCATTAAGAAATAAAGAATACCACAAGCTCAAGGTAACAACGTCATTGTCAAAATATTTATATTAAAGACTTCATCCCCTATTTTCCACCCTTTGAGTTAATTTTTTTCTTTTTAAAAATGTTATATCCGAACATACATAAAGATATATACCAGGGTTTTTTTCAGAGTGTCCAAATTTTATATATAATTTCAATTATATATAAATAATGCAGTTTTTGAAAATAAGAGTAAATAGGGTTTCTACTTTTTTTACTCATATGAAAAAAAAAATATATATATATATATACATTTGAAACAACTACGCGCATGCGCGCTCTTCTGTATGCGATTCAATTCACAAAGTTTTTGGCGTCCGAACGACCCTTACGAATGTGTGCGTGCGTAGTAAAATAGTAGGCGTTAGATATTTACGAATGACAATCAGTTAAATAATACATTACCACGCATTTTGAATTTAAAATATAAAAAGTATTCTGATTATAATAACATTAAGGATACAAGACTAACTGTGAATCCACATTTTTTAAGTCTGTAAAAATGAATGAGAATGTCTATTTCGACGTCAAGCCACATGACAGTCATGCAACTTATCGTCATTCCATTCCACAAGGTTTTGTATTATAGTCCGTTCGCGTTAAGAAAATAGTGAGTCATCGTTGTCCCCACGCCCCCAGCCAATTAAAATGCAAGAAATTAGAAAGTCGAGTTCACAGTGACCAGTTGAAGCCAGACCTTCGAACAAAACGGTTGTGTATTTTGCGTGTTACTCGTTCAACATTAAATTTTGAAAAAACCTCACCTATTCGAAAGAATAAAAGTGGATCAATAATCCATAGAGGAGAGAGACGCGTAATCTACAATGTTTATAAGTCCTTTAAACTGTGTGATTTAAATGCGACTGTGGAGAGCACAGTAATAAAAACAGCAAGTGCATATAGTGTGTCCGAAAATACTGTTTATAAAATTATTAAAGAACAAAAGGATACTAACACATTAAAATCACCCGTGAAAAAACAGCTAGCGACTATCGACGATCGATAAATTAGATGAACTAGACAAATGAGCAATAAGGAGAAAAGTTCACTCAATATATTTAAATAACGACTACCCGACATTGGACAAAATTGGATCATGGTACTTGCAGAACAAAATTCTTTCATAATTAATGTAACTGGAGAATCTAGCGATACTGATTAGTGATTAAAGTAATTTTAAGAAAATTTGTTTCCATTAAAATTATTAAATGTTTGAAAAAAAAAAAGAATGTTTACTCCACTGTGAGTGCACCTTTACCCTGTAGTTGCACTGATAACTCACTATTTTCTTAACGCGAACGGACTATAGCGTTAACGATTGTAGAAAATCAACTTGCAGTGCCACTAACGAAGTTTGTGACGTCATCATGCATCGGCAAATCGACTTCAACGAAGCGGCACTGGTGACATGAGATTCCGAACATTTTAGATTCACAGCAATCTGTACACTTTACAATCAGACTACCGCCACATTTAAAAAAATTGCGTTATTGAAATATCACAATTACAGTTTCACATATTAAGTTCGTTTTGGAAGGATGATTATAACGATTGGGTAGTTAACAATATCATTAATAGATAACTCCCATAATTTAAATTTGGTACTTTTAAAAATTTAATTCTTATTATGTGACGTCATTACACTGTATTCTCATATAATTTTTATTGAAATATTTGTTCTGATAACTCTTTAAATTGTATTACAAATTACTAGTGTCAAACACTCAATTATTAAATTATTATTTTAATTATTTTAACTAAAATTATAATGGAACACCTTATGACCCAAACGGATCTTTTGGCAACAATATTTATATAAACCCTTAGACCAGAAAAGAAAGAAAGAGCGTTGCGTATCTTTCAAGTGACGCAAACCACGCTCATCTTCTTGACACGTATTTATTGTTTAACAGCACCTAAAGCCATGTTATTAGTTGTAAATGATTTTAGATGAATATGTGTACATGAGTGCATGTTCTTACAATAAGTTTAGAATGGCTTGGTGTTTGCATCACTTAAAATTAATGCAACGCTGTGAACGAACGCAATAAAGCAACATTAACTATGCTCGCGCAAACATCACAGCGTACTTTGAAATATTTTAATTTTGTACAGTTTTAATTTCTATTTACACAAAATAAATAAAACAGAGCTCAAATATATCTACATAGGTATATTTATAATGGAAGAAATATAATTTATCCACGATACTTTTAACTTTGTAAACCAAGGTAGTTTTTATCTTAGTATAAAAACAGCAAGATATGTTATGAATTAAAACATTTGAAATTAAATAATTAACAAAGAATAGTTGCGTCGTGACAAAATCAATTCCAACATTATATTTCATATTAAATTATATGCATAACATTTTTTAACTTCAAGCTTTTTTTTCAAGACATTTTTTGTAATATAAATATGATAATGCGTTTAAACGTCGAGCTCACAAAATAATGTCAAATCACGTTTATATTACAATGGTTATCAGACCCCAATAATTATATTTCTACTCAGTAAGTTATATTTTTCTTTATTTCAGTAAGTATCTAATGGGGCTGATATATCCATTTCAAACAAAAGCCCTTAATTTTAAGAGCAAAAAATATCACATCCATACAAAATCATCAACAACTCATAAGCAAATAAATCTGTCATATAGTACTGTTGCGGCGACTAAAATAATATGTTTTATTGTAGTAGTGTAGTAATTGTAAAATCAAAAATGTCTATTCACTCAAATGAAATTGCTTGCGACAAAGCTGATAAATTGCCTTCAACTGTCAAAATGTCGTAGCTTATGCGCAGCTGTCCCTCTCGCACTGGACGTACTCGTATAGCGCCTTGCACAGGTCGTGCAGTATTGCGTCTCACCTATTGCCGCCGCGTTTGTTCAGGGGATCATACATCTCCGCTTCGGAGTCGACGTCGTCTTCCGACAGGGAGAGCGAGCCCCCTACACGACGACCGCGGCGGCCCTCCTGGAAAATCGTAAAATAGGAACAATGCATATTAGAGCAATCTTAAAAGCGTAAAAGGTGTTAATTTGTTTTAACATTAGGCTAGCAAAGCATTTAGTTTCCAGTATTTTGTTTCTAAATAAGCTTTTATTATTATCATGTACAACCTTCGCCATTTTTATGCTATTACTGTTAATAATTATAATTCATAGTGTTAGTTTTCGTCTACGATTATATTTTATTTTTACTCTTTAGATTTATTTGTAAAGAAAGTAAAATAAGAATATTAAGAGATAAAAAATGGTGTGTACGTGTGTGTGCATATGCAATTTTTTTTCCATTGTTAAGAACTACTTAATCATTTTGTAAAGAAAACCTAATAAGATATTCATTAAGCTAGGCTAGGCTATTACACGACAACATTAAAACACAACACAAATGACGAATAAGGTTCATAAACATACAGATATTCTTTTATAAGAGAGCCCAATGGATAATTTTGTGATTTTGAACCCGGGACTACAAGGTCAGACAGACAGACAGTCCGTATAAAACCACGGCAGTTAAGTTAAAAACATAATGTTTTACCGTCGTGGTGCTTCCAAAAAAGACCGTTAAGTATTTTTATTTCAGTTCAGTCCCATGTGTGTCCAATTTATCTAACATGATTCCGAAGTCATACACTTTTAGTATATTTTTAATATATCAAAGGTTTTATAATTTTTTAAATTATAACATGCTATGAATTTTGTAGTGTATTCTTAGTGATAAATGATGAGATAAAATTGACAACTATTTCGCCGTAAAAATCATATGAAAGCGAAAGTTTAAAAGGTAAAGATCGTTACTTCGTATTGTCAATAGTTACCACGTGGTGTAAAATTAAATATTCCTGCAACAGAGTGTAGACTTTACTGTGAGCAGCTCTGCTATATACATTCTATTGTGAAGAGAGAAAAATGTAGTAGCAGCAAGATCAATGCGAAAGTCCTGTTTGTGAAAAGCAATACGAATGGAAATAAGATGAACATAAATTTTTTATTACCTCTATTCATTACTCAAGACCCATTTATTTCCATCGATACCTTTTTTTATTAGTGGTCGATGTTTATTCCCTTAATTTAATATTCGTTCCATCCATTACAGTCTATAAAAGCCCAGTACTGAACATAGCCCACCACTCCATAGATTGCCTTATAGAGGGATTTCATACCATAGTCGCCACGTGGGTCGGTGACCGAAGCTTTTTCTTTAAATTATGAGCTGTTATCACGTAGATGCTGCAGCCCCTCTCCTGTTTCAGCTTCTCTTTGTCGCTTCCTACGACACTCACGCGATAATAAGGGATAGGGGATACTTGAATACCGCCACTACGTGACTAATAAATTGGAAACTAGACAGTTTACAGAAAATGGTATAGGGAATCTTTTAAATACGACAGTTGACGCAATCTTGGAAAACCTAACCAGCAGAAGAATTAAATAGAAGACCAATAATTATATGTAGAAAGGAAAAGGGTCACAGCAGGACTGCAAAAACTACCGTGGAATCAGCTTGCTTAGTATTGTGGGTAAACTGTGTGCTAAGGTGTTAATTGAAAGAGTTATGAAAGAAACTGATGGAAAAATTTGGGATGTGCAAGCGGGTTTTAGAAAGGGAATGGGGCGTACAGATCAAGGCTTTTTCATGCGCATGATTGCGGAGAAGTTTTTGGCCAAAAACCAGAAAGTTTTTTGTGCGTTCATGGACTTGGAAAAGGCTTATGACAGAGTGGACAGGAATGTGTTATGGCAAACACTGAACTCATATGGGTTGAGCGCTGGTTTGATACAGGCATTAAGGTCTCTTTATAGGGACTCTAGTGCTTGTGTCAGGATCAATGGGGTTAACTCGGACTGGTTTGGCATCCAAAAAGGTGTCAGACAGGGCTGTGTAGCTTCCCCTTGGCTGTTCAACCTATTTATGGACAGGTGTTTGCAAACTTTGAAAGATGAAGAATGTGGGTTAAGAATGGGCGAGTTAACCGTCAAATGCCTTTTGTACGCCGATGATCAAGTCATATTTGCGTCATCGGCGTCTGAGTTGCAAATGATGGTTACATTAATGAACTGGGAATTAAAAGAAAAGGGAATGAAAGTGAACGCAAGTAAGACGAAAGTGATGGTTTTTGAAAGAGAAGAAAGCAAAACGGTATGTGAAATAAGAATAGAAGGAGAGTTAATTGAGCAAGTGGATGAGTTCGTATATTTGGGATGTGTATTTAGCAGGGATGGTAGATATGATAGGGATATAGAAAGACGAGTAAATGCAGGGAATAGAGTGAATGGGGCACTACACTCTATTATGAAGAACCAGAATGTGTCAAAAAAAGCACGTATGGTAATTCATAATGCCGTGTTAGTCCCTACTTTAATGTATGGTAGTGAAAGCTGGGTGTGGCTGAAGAAGCACGAAAGTAGAATAAATGCTGTAGAAATGCGGTCTTTAAGGAGTATGCTAGGGTTGAATCTGAATGACAGGGTGAGAAATTGCGTGATAAGAGATAAATGTGGTATGCAAGATGATGTTGTGACCAGGATTAAGAAAGGAAGGTTTGGTCATGTAGAAAGAATGAATGAGGAAAGAGTGACAAAGCAAATTTATATGGCAGATGTGAACGGCCGAGTCTGGAAGGGACGCCCTAAAAAAAAGTTTATCGACCAAATTGGCGATATTTTGAAAAGGGGCCACGTTAGAAGTACCCTTAACCGAAGAGCATGTATGCGTAGATATATGGATGTAAAGGAGGCGAAAGAGGGTCAGGATCGTGCCAAATGGAAGTCCGTAGTCTCTGCCTACCCCTCTGGGTGACAGGCGTGAGTGTTTATGTTTATGTTTTATGTATAATAAATAGAAAAAAAATGTTTTTAATAAAATTTTGTTACTTTACATTTAAGTAACACTGAACCTCACACACAGGACTTACGGTAATTTAAGGTTACTTACGAACCAATATCTGTACATAAGCATAATGTAAAAAAGGAAAAAAGATATATACAGGTGTCCCAGAACGTAACGATCAAACGAAAGGGGGTTGTAGACTACGGAAAAACTGTTCAAAAAAAAATAAAGTCCTATTCCCAAATTGCTTGGTTTAATAGATAAAGGTTGATTTAAAAATTTTCCAGAAAATCACCCTTTTTGCGTCAATATTTTTGATGCTGCATCTGCAAATGAAGACCGATTTTAATTTTTTATCTGTTTTGTATAGTCTAATAATATGCCTACTATACCTACTATTTTATTTTTCAATACCTATTACGGCAACGAGCAAGTTGGACCCTTCATACTGTAAAAAAATGTAGCCACATGGACCTGGACACTGTATTCAAAAGTTGGCGCAATTCATGTAGATTTCAAAATGGTATAATACTTTGTACTTTTATTTCAACTTTTGGTGGTATAATTTTTTTCTGGCAGAGGGAATATTTTGTGCAAATTACTCAATTAGATATTTTTTTAAATGATTCGTCCGTTCGATTAATGTTAAGAAAAATAATTCGTTTTCACGCTGGTTTGGCCAATTTTAGACCTAATGTCCATAGAAAAGTTAAAAGCAGTTCATTTTTTATTCAATTTTCGTGTTAAACAAAACACATTCAAAATTACGATACATATAACTCGTACGAATTAACTTGAGACCTGGGCCGATGACGTAATTGTCAGTGTACGGTGTGCAAAATAATGCGTCGTAATATTTTTTTATTTGAAATTTTTGAGATTTGCATGAGATTATTAATAAAAACAAAATAAAATGTTCTGGCAAGGGGTGAAGTAATAAGTGATATACTGTTGCCATTTTTATATATTTTAAATATTTATTTTTTATAATATATATAATATTATTTTTAGTTAACGCGTCAAGGAAGGACAAATAAATGAAAATAAAAATATAAAATAAAAATACAAACAAAAGTCCAAACCAAACAACAAACAATCATCAAAAATATCGAACCAGAGTCGAGATGCGTATACGCGTAACAAAAATGCTATCGGTACTGAGCGCGCATGGCCAGCGCGGGACGCGGTGCGGGGAGTCGGGAAGGGGGTCGCATTCCAGCGGAGTCTCAAGTTAATTCGTACGTGTTGTACGATGCTACTCAGATTTAGTCGCTATAACGCATAGGAGTATGTAAGTGCAAGCGAGACAGAAGATATGAAAGTGACTAGGTTTATACAGGTAGGTAATCCCGGTAACCCGCCCCTTTGGTTTGTAAACTTACGCACAAAGGCAACAATGAGTGATATTAAAACCAGCAATTTTTTATAATTTTAAATGATAATTTTTACAATAAATGTTCGAATTGTCGACCTCTTGCTCTAATACAAGCGCGGCATTTTAATTATAATAATAATAATAAAATATTTATTCATTGACCAAAAGTAAAAAAACATTTAAAAGTTAAACTACCTAATACAAAATACACAAATTTCACGTATTGGGTATTAAGTGTACGCCTTAGATTATTTATAAGCAAGCTAGTGAATGGTATGTGCTTATCGCGTGCATTTTATTTGCTGGAAGTTGATTTCAGTGTAACTGGTAATATGTCTTTTCGATTCTCATCTCGACTATTCGCAACATTATTATTAGTCATGTAAGGATTATATCAGATTGAAAATAAAATTGTCACCAGTATATTTTCTATGCGAAGACGGGTGTTAAATTTGGCACAGTTAAAGTTTATATAGAGGAGTGCCGAAATACATAAAATAAAATTAAACTAAACATACATTGCTTACGTTCATACCGCCAGTGTCGAACATATATTTGTCGCATGGGCAAACTATGGCTTTTGTTGACATTCATACTGCCAATGTCTCAGAGTAAGTACAAGCATATAATTTTATGTTATTACTCAAAGACCAAAGTCAAACTCTTAATATTCTGTGGTCAAACAGCCGCACAGAGTAGAGATTGTCACAAAATAATTTTCAAATGATGCCAACAAAATTATAGATTAACTGTATAAGCACTATAAGACTGAATTTTGTGTGATTTCAATAAATGATTCATTTTCATTTGCGGATCAAATATCAAGGCAAAAAGCGTTTATTTCATATTTGGTAAATAATTATCTCTGTTTTATAAAGGTGCAGCAGAAAGTTGAATGTAGCTTGATTAAAATACAAACCTTAAAATTTAACGAATTACGGTCGAATTCGACCTCTAGACGACCAATAGTAAATATGTAATACACCAATGGAGACAGTTTTTTACTTTGATTTTTTATGTGACACGTTTTATAGTTATATAGTAATTAATGATTAAAGTATACACCCATACTTGCAAGAGCAATCATAAATAAAGGTAACGACGAGGAAAACATATGTTTAGTTTTTAGTTAAAAATTACAAACTAAAAGGACTTTAAATAATTTTATTGAACAATATAATAGATTTAGATTTTATGCGGCTTTATAATTAAAGCAAATCTAAGAGTGTGCTACGTAGAAATTTATAAGTGGGTATTAGATATTATAAAAATATACTTTCGTTCAATAAAAGTGTTATAATATACCACGCAGCAAAGTACATATACAACTTATTGGCATTATTATTTATTATTAGTATTGGTTTATTCCTCTTAGGAAAAAAAAAACAGCCCAAGAAAATCGAAAAAAAAAACTATCATTAAAATAAATAATCATGGCTGTAGTTTGAGTATAAGATAATGTATTCTATTTACAAAATTGTAAGATAGCATTAATAACAAGCATAACAACAGAAATATTCTTCTTCCCGATTCGTCGTTCGCATATTCAAGTTCTTAAGTGAAACAGATTATAGTTTAAGCTTGAGACTAATGATTAATTTTTGTTATAAATTAATCATGGCCTTTTTACAATGTACAACTTATTGAAGCACTTAATAATTTCGCTTGCGTAATTAGTTAAACCACTACAAAAAAGCTGCACTTTTTGTGCCTATGAGGAATAAATTTTAGTAATCCAAATTTGTAGAACAATTACCTGGTTTTGTAAATTTTACAAATGCCATATCAACGAATGCAACACTAGGAAAGACAAGTTCTATTGGTTTTGAATAAATTATCACAAGATTTAATAAAAATATATTAACAGGAATGTCATATCAATGAGCTATAAACACTATTTACTATTATCACGTTTTTGTTTATTTTTGATTGGATTTGTTGTTACTTATAGAAGAATTTTCCTAAGATATAATTATTATAGCCGTGCAATGGCGGTGTATGAATGTCCACTAGCCCATATCGTCCCGGGCGACAGAGGGAATTAAACCAGATGGGCAGCAGCATACTTCTAATAACGGTGGTTGTAAATCTGCTTGCCAAGCTTGGCAACTATGGCAAATATAGCCTTATGAAGCTATCTATGGGACTGCCTATTTTCAGCATTGCACTTTGACAGCACGTAATGAATGCATGAATTAATAATTATTATACAATATTTTTTATTATAAAAATATAGGGTGACAAACGAGCACACAGTCCACCTGATTGTAAGTGGATGCTTTGAATAGTAGACATCTCCATCTATCCTCAATTAACAATCAAAATTAAAATGCGTTATCACCCCTGGGAATTGAGATGGAATGAAATTGTTTCCAGTAAAAAGTGTCTCCAGTTCTCTACATTCACCATATCAAATACAGCAGTATTAAGCTGGTATTTTACGCTGGTATTCTGTAAGAGTGTTATTCTTCCCAGATCGAGCCGACCCATTCGCTAAATACAAATCTTAACATAAAAATGTTCACTTGAGCAAAATTTGGAAATCAGTATGGATAAGATTTTTAAGTAAAAACTGAAATTGCAAATCTCGCAAAAGAAATCGATCAACATCCACGCACTGTATAAAAAGCTACTGGGCACAATCCTCCTCTTATTTCTGAATGGGTTATAAACCAGGTGCTCCAGTGCGTTATGACATGCAGGTTCTCTAACAATGTTTTTCTACACCGTCAGGCACGTAGTAGATCCGAATTTAAAATTTAAAATTAACAACTTCATTAGTGCATTAGTGGGATAGAATTCGAGTTCATCGCCGACTATCAAATTTCTACTAGCAAACCCGTAGTAGCTAAGGCTGTTACACGTTCGACGTAACATAAAATACGACGTAACAGAACATATCTTAAATGTATGTTTTATTAATTTTAAACTTTATTACACGCCTATAAGAAAGGATATAAAGGGCGAACTTAATGTTAACCCATGAGGTGATGAAAATTGGACTAGTGTAGCAATTTAAAAAAAAAAACAACTAATAGAAACTAAAATAAGCACGCAAATATATACATTAAAAATTATATAATATTACAAATAAATGCATATATACTCCTATCATACATGCACAAATTCAATCTTTAAATAAACACATTATCTTTGTCTTTCCTAGTTGTTCCCTTAAGCATTTAAGCCCCGGCGAGGTGCACCGAAACCAATAAAAATATATTTAAAAAAATCTAAACCCAAACTAATGTGCACTCGTGCAGCTCAATATGTGCCCACCAATTCCGTGTCGCTGTTCCAGGCAGCGCCCTCCTCTACACTCGAAGACATCTGGGACGTAACAAGAGATCAATATTTCTCACAAGCAATCTAAATCCCAAGACTTTATTTTAAAAATCACTTTGTTTCAATTGAAGTAATATGTACTATGTACTAGGACAGCCACCAAGACTTGTTTCTTTACAACACGTGGTAGTAGTGCACGGACTCTAGCTCAATTATGTAGTCTGTGCCAGGTGCTTGCCGCAATATGACATATTTAAGGACAAACATAAGCATAATGAATATAGTTTCATGAGCATTAAGGTGTTGTGCAGCTGTGTAAACCACTCGAAAAAAGTGACTTTTCGTCCCTAAATTTAATTGTATTTATCAATTGTCACTTCACCTCATGTTTCGTTAAAATTATAGAATAACAAATTTGCTTCTCAAATGTGATTCTATTTAAAAATCTGTGTATTCCAAAATAATATATTCAATACTTTTTAGTAAAATTTGTGTTATAAAATAAATAGACAAATAAATTACAAATATAATATCCATAAAACATTTTTTTGCTATTGGAATGCATACTTTATTTTACATTCAAAGTTAAAATATTGTATTACAGTTTAATGTATTATTTAATTTTAACCTATAACATCATCAAGTATAATTAATATTAGATATCACTTAAACTTTCAAATAAAATATCATTAAAATTTATTTGTGATATGTATGTAATATCATATTAAATTACAGCATATGCAAAATAAATGAAACATTTTAAATTATACTCATTTTAATTAACAATACATAATATGTAATCTATTGCTCGACACACACGGTTTTTCACTGACGTACATCCAAATACTGAACGTGAGTGTGAAATCTTAAGTTGAAATTTGAAGCCAGTGAATGGGGAAATGGTTTTGGCTTACATCCGTTGAACTGATCAGTTGAAATGATAACTTTAACTGACCGTGTGTGACGACCATGATGACAAAAACTAAGCGCGCTTAGCGACGTGCGCACCTATTTACTGCGCATGCGCGACGAAACTCGCATAGGGGGAGGGGGTGCACATTTTTTGTTTGAAATAGCTGTTCTAGTACGTAAGTACATTATAGTTTAATGTTTCTTATTTAATAGAATAGGAAGAAATTAACTAAATGTCCGTGTCATAGCAATAAATTAATACGTCCGAATGACCAATAGCCAATGCCAAAAATGGCATGAAACACTAAGACGCCAACAGTACTACAAAATCATTTAAGTTTCATAGTTGAGACAGACTGAGGTTGCAAATCGTTACAAAAGGCTACTAAAATAGCCTAGATTACATCTTTTATGAAAGCCTCACCTCCAAAATGCCAGCGCTGGGCTCCGAGGCGTATCCCTCGAAGTGTTGCTGGTCATCCTCGTAGTCGGACGAGGAAGAGGACGAGTTGTCTACGTCTTGCGCCGGACGGACTGAACACACCATTTGTGCCAGGTCCGTAAACGTGTAGCTATAAAATAGTAGGAAATTGTGTTAATTTATCTATATCGATAAAAACCTATTGCCGCATGAATGGAAAGATTATCTATCATTTGAGAAAGGCTGAACCGATTTTTATGAATTTTTTTATGTGTGTTGAGTGGATCACAATTGTTTAGATTTACAATTGGGCTCGGTAGGTGGCGCTGTTATCGAGATCCAGAAATCATCTATGCGAAGCCAGGGCGGATGGCTAAATAAAATCCTATACCTTTAAACGAGCAATTCTTGTATGTATATATACAGGTTGTTAGTATAAACACCGTTATACTTGAAACCAGTGGTTTGGTTTCACTTATAGAACTTAATTCAATAAAAAATAACAACATTTTTTCTTTAGTAAAATCTCAATTTTTCCTTAATTTCTCAATTTTTGCCTCACCTAAGCCAGGATGTAAGTATGAAGAAAAAGTTACATGACAGGTTATGTGTACCTATTGTGTTTTTATTGGAATGTTGTGTAGGTAGCTAGGGTGGGCGGTGATCTTTACAGTGATTACGTCACTCGGACGCATAGGGTATCCATGAATTTACAGACGGTGTCGGACAAAAACTTTTTAAATTTTATGAAATAAAAGTGTTTTTTTTTTCAAAATTCGGATAAATATTTTATATTAAAGCCAACTACCTATGGTTTTAGTGACAACGGTGTTTACACTTACAAACTGTGTTTCCTTTTGTCCGTGCTTTTAGGCAATGAAAAACTGCTACAATATAAGAAGGTAAATTTTGACAGCGTACTAACGATCGTAATAGCTCAAGTGGGATCGGGCGGTCGCGAAATCGGAGTGCCCTGGTCCGCGTCCTGTCTTTGGTCCGACTTTTTTTCCTTTTTTTTTCAAGTTCCCTTCTTTTGTGATCCCCTTCTATTATTTCGAGCCCTTTTTTAAGTATTTTTTTAAAATACGAAAATTTAAATTAAACTAATTGCACTCATGATTTTTTATTCAAATAACCAGTACAGTTTTTTCTATTATGTCAATAAGATCAAAAATATTATTCATGTTTCATCTGTATGTAATTTGTTTGTAAATTTCCAAAAAAAAAAAATATCGAGGAAAGTTCGGTCATCCAGGTACTATTCTTTAAACAAGAATAAAAGGGAATTTTTTTTTTATAGAAGGGTTTGTATAGATCGCAGCACGTAACGCTGCTATTTCGCGCTGGTAATCGAGCAAACAAATTTCATGCCACGGTTATGGTATAATTTTAGTACTTAAGTATAAGTTACTAAAGATGATCGTGTAGTGAATAAGAATATCTACTAGCCCATATCGTCCCGTGTGTATCGTAACAGGCGACAGGGGGATACAAGTCAGGAGATGGGCAGCAGTGTCTTCCTAATTACCAGTAGAAAAAAATGTGGTTGCCAACCTGACAGTAGTGGCCATTGATATGTAATGAATGAATGATAAAAGAAATAAGGATACGAGGACAGAGGAGTAGGTTTAAAAGTACATTGACTTTTTGTTTTATTCTCTATAAAATATTAAATTGTTAATTTTTCAATCTATCCGGCTATCCTCGCGACTTCGCCCGCGTGTATTTTAGCTTTATTTTTTTTTTGCGTGGAAACCTAATTCATTTTCTAAAATAAAGTAAACTAAGTTACTCCTTATAACTTTAGCTATCTGCCAGTGAAAGTCCCATCAAATTGGTCCAGCCATTTAGATCGATAGATTAGCCGGAATAAACAGACAGACAAAAATTTTAAAAATTGTATCTTTGTTATAAGTACCGTATATACTTTCATGTGTTTTTTTTAGTAAAAAGCTGTTATTTTGACATTACAAACAGACACTTCAATTTTATTTATGTATTTGTATAGATTGAAAGCCATGTTTAGCTATGATGAACTTGTTTTTTTAAAATTTGGAATTTAGTCCCGCGTATTATGAAAAAAGTTTAGATTTACTCAAAGAGATTTAAATATATATCTACTATAGTGCGGACGTTGGAAACATTTGCATACAAAAACTGTGGGCACGCGCGTGTATTAAGCCCTCTAGCGAAAATAGCAATACTACGCTGAATATTTATGTGGCAAACATTACAGCTATTTCCCATTAGGTGACGCTTCTAAATATAAGGTAAAAATCGGTTTTAGGCACGTCGTCAATTACTAACATATTTGTAAATAAATAGTGACGTTACTGGATAACAGAGGGCACTAATTACAATAATTTTTCTTTCTTCTAGAACAATCTACCAGAAATAACAAAATTTATAGATTATTTGGTAAATATACATTATCCTTAGGATAATAAGCCGAAATCATGTTCATTTTTGCTCCATATCGTGACTTACTATACCTTAATGCACAACTGGGCATATTTTCTTTAAAAAAAAATTTAAATTTATGAAACGAATACGTTGACCTTTCGGTGATGTTACTAAGACTAAATGACAAAAATCGGAGATATATGCTATAGGACATAAGTTACAGACCACAATTTTATGGCTGAAGTCCGGTCTATTACTACTACATAATTTAATGTCTTTGGATTTACTACAATATTATTACGTCACTTAGCATTTGATGTCAGTGAACCAGTGTGGTTTCCTGTTTCCATAAAACTAAAATTAAAAAATTAAATTATCAATACAGTCCTACTCCCCACGGTATTATGCCAAGAACATAATTCCTTACAGAAATTTCACCACACGTGGATCCCATGCACCGATAAACTTTATAGCAAACGGTCATAATATGAAGTCGTCTCTCAGAGACTTATATTTGCGCCACGAATATAGTTGAGCTGCTTCTGCCGCCCGGCTCTAAGTAAGGATCCTGAGATGAGGGGCCGCCAAAGTATCTACTCAAGTAGCATCGTACACTAAGGCTTTACTTTACCTTATTTTTAATAACATCCGTAACATATTAGTAAGGAATTTGAGTTTTGAGGGGAAATTAATCTGCGTTGAATATAGATAGATAGATAGATAGATAATTCTTTATTGTACACCAAATCAATACATAAACGAAAGAAGAAGAAAAAAAATAGTGTCGCAATGGGCGGTCTTATCGCTAAAAGCGATTTCTTCCAGACAACCTTTGGATGGACAGGATCGCAAAAAATAGTAAATTGTGTGGTTTGGTGATGCAGAAACAATATTTATAAATATATCCATATTTTATACAATATAATTAGAAATAAACAGCAAATAAATACAAAAAAATACGAATGTATACATATATATATAAATGGCACGAACTCAAAGATTAAGATAGCGACTGTGTACAAGTTTCTGAAAAACAGGTAAAGACTGGGCGCGTCTCACTGACAGAGGTAGGGCATTCCATAGATGGACTGCTTGGATATATACTAAAATACCGCTTCAGTATGATTATTTATATAGTGGTCTTCACAATATGTTAATACGATATGCGATAGCTTGAGCCAGACAACAGTATCTCCGTCTAGCAGTAGTATCAGCGTCTAAGCAGATACATGATCTTAAGATTTACGTTACCATTGGAGTACTTGTTACATCGTATCCACTTACAGTTTACATGCGCATGCAATTAATACATAAAATCGCTTATTTTAGGCATCAAAATTAGATAAAACAAAAGCAGTATCTCGCCGGGGGTTAAGTTCTTTTTTTATAGAATAAAGGGGATAACCGAACACACAATCCTTCATTAAGAATCAAAATGCAGATAACTTGTCACCCGTGAGGACTAAGATGGAATGCCTCGTTTCCAGTTATAAGGGTCTCCAGTTCTCTACACTCACCATACGAACTACAGCAGCGTTAAGCGATGGTAGTCTGTAAGAGTGACGTCCTTCCTCGGTCGAGCCGAGCCACTCATGCAGCATGGCTCCGCCGCTACGTGGATGCAGTACTCACTCGGTGAGCGTGGGCTGGTGATGGCGGCGCGGGCCGGCGAGCCCGCTGACGCCGCTTACGCCGCCGCCGCCGCCGCGCCGCTGCCCCTCGAAGTACGCGGCGCCGTGCCGGTAGCCCACTTCACGGATCTCGTCAAACGAGCTGAACTGCAGCGTCTTGTACGCGTCGATCGGCGGCCGGATGTACTCGCAGTAATCCGAGCTCTTCACCTCCTAAAAACACAGCGTGTTTAACGTGAAAACAGTTCCGAATTTACCCTTAATATAAGTAAAGCTCGAGACCAAGAGACCCGCAGTAAAACCCGATAGCATCGGATTTCATTCGATGAATGATACGACTAACTTTACCACACTAATTAATTTTATCATATATAGAGAATCAATTAAATAAATGCAATAGGCTAGCCACAGAAATTTATTTTTCGTAATTTTTATACATGATATAGATAAATTTCTCTTTTAACAAGGCGTGAGGACATCATCATTTATTTTATACATCATTTAAGTTGGTTTTAAAATAATAAATTTCTCTTTCTAATTTTGACATAACACAAACAAAATTAACTATTTTGAAATACTTTATAGAACTTGTAATAACTGAGTTTTTATATATTGAATGATAATTGATTAAAACATGACAGCCTATATTTTATATGAAATAAAAAATATTTTTTGTTGTGGATTGTGTATAAAACTAACCCTAATGATCGTTTGTCATTTGCGCCCTCCTTTCTCCCAAGGAGGGTCGCGTCCGTTTACGGCTTAAAGATCTCTCGTCAGATCGTTAAGTGAATCCCAAAAGGTGGTGTTTAGTGGGTAAAAGTCTCCACATAACCACGCAGCCAGCTGCATGGTATGCTATGAGCATTCACCACCACCCTCCCCCGTTACCGGAGTGTTGCCATTATTTGTTTTGGGCGCAAAAAAAAATCGTTTGTAATAAAAAAATAAATGTAGCTGTTTTTGTTTTTGTTTTATTCCTAAAGGCCCTACATGGACTAAAACAGCCATGGGTTACTTTTTAAATCGAATATAAATATTTTTTTTAAATAATAGTACGAAGTCGATGAATGCGGGTGACGTAGTACCGTGTTTTGTGGCGTTCCATGAAAGACACAACATAGAACAACAAAGAACATAGGTCCAATGATTTCAAAAGGAAGGATAGGCCCATCAAAATATTTTACTCATAACTTTTTCATACAAGAAAAACTAGAGCATCTGTCATAATACGAACGTCATATCAAAACACCACGTAACCAGGGTCGAATTTCGTAGTATAATTATCGTAATTGTACCATTATTTCATATTTTGTAGTATATAGTCAATGTATATATTATCGTAATAATACTAAGCGAAAATACCATAATTTTACCTAAAGGTCGACTTGTATTATTATTCGGTCCTTTTACATTTTAATATTAACCCTACGATATCGAAAATTTCTGTATTGTACATGAGTACTATTTTTAAATAAAATTAGAATTAGCTTCCTTTCTGGTCAATCGATGCTCGATCGATGCATTTATGTTGCATCCTTGATACAACTATGATGAGAGGCTACCACGATAAAACTCTATGCTCCAGAAGCAATCGGTTTGAAAACAGAATTTCAAAATATTTTATGAATCAGATTTTCAGATTCAATTAAGCAGAAATGGTTTCTTTTGTACTCTTTTTGTTTTACCCCTATTGAATATAAAATATAATAGGTATCAGTATTCAAAATTTAACTTACACATAGTTCTTTAGACAAAAGTTAAACAGAAATAAAAATAAAACCGTGAAAAAACGAAACGTATAGATAAACTAGACGCGTGACGCCAAAATCCCGGCACATGGGAAAAAGGAAACATGAAAAATCAAATTTGATACAATTTTTTAAAAATAGTATAATTTTATTTTCCATCTACAATATTTTTGAGAGTCTGAATCCAACCCTGGCCTAATCTTGGTAACGTAACTAAACTAACTGTAAAATAAAACATTTAAAATGCGTTTGTATATTAATTTAGTAGTAATAAAATTAATATAAAGTTATTTACCGATGATACGATATCCCATGATTTTTAAAAATCTTTGTATCGTAATTTTTGCATTCTTTTGCCACGCAACAAGACATATTTGTGACAGGCAAATCTGTCATGCGCGCGTACCACTGGCGACCGATTCGCGTTGGCCCTAAACTGTAATTTTAGGGCCAGCGCACTGGTCCGTTTTAGTTGTTCGGTCGGGCCGCTCCTTACGCTAGTAATGTATAAGTCAATGCATAGGCGATTTTCAGCAGTGGATTGTGAATTTGTCTGAATGTTTGTCCTAATGTAATAAATATTTATAAAACACCTTCTCGATGCACGAATAATTCTTAATGACATTTTTTGTAAAGAAAGTAACATAGGAGCCGACATTCAACCTGATGTTAAAGAATGATGTACAAGCTAGTAGTACCAGTTACTCAACTCCACCGAGTCAGTAATTCATTCTTGGGGCGATGTATACGCTTTTACAACAAAATCACAGAAAATATACAAAATTTGTCATACGCAAAGTTCAAAAATGTTATTAAACTAAGTTTGTATAAAAAGGGTTATTATAATATTAAGGAATTTATAGATGATAACCCCTGGGAAGGGTGATCGCTACCAAGCTATTTCTAATTTGTCTTGTGTTGTTAATTGTAAACATGATTGTAAGCTATTATTAGAAAAAAAAAATAGTCCCGCTGGGTTTCTTGCTGGTTCTTCCCAGGACAGAGGTTTTTTTTGCAAACCAGTGGTAAATAAAAAGTGACTTTCAATAAGTATTGTTATAATCTACATTGAATAAAAAAGTTTCTGTTTCTGTTAAAAATGTTAAAAATAATTAAAGAGACTAAAATGCAAACAAAATGCCTCAGAGTTAAATTTAAAAGATAAGAATATACTAGGATACGAGTTTTTTTAGATTTTGTTAATTTGTGTACATATATTTTATAAGGTTCAATTGTAACTATTGGGAGAAAATAATCATTTTCTTCACGTAATTTATGAGTTTATTGCAGCTTCTCCACATGAAGTAAGGACTTGTTTAGGATGACATCGACATCTAGTTTTTTTACAAATATTATTTAAATAACGCTATCTGTTATTTAACAATTGATATAAACTATTTTTAATAATGCAAATAATAATTAAAGGAAAAATAATGATGTAAAATAATAAAATCGAAAAAGATCAACCATATTACCTCTAGCTGTCGATTGCAGGACACGTAAGCCAGCCTACTCTGAATATCCGGTAAGTTTGGCACTTTCACTGGTGTGGTGAACGGATTCCACCTATTAAAAATAATCAACTATATATTATTATGTTTTCAAATTATAAATTTCTACGCGTTATACCTCCCTCCTACAATGTCTAGAAGTTGTGAAGTGCCAACTTCTCGTCTTTTACAGGCACCTGTGGATATTAGCGTAAATCAATGGTCTTTTACGACCTGATAAATATGCAAACCACCTAAATACTTCTCACTACTGAAACACTTCACTTTCCATTTCCTAGAGGGTAATGGAGGCGTCAGCCCGCTGCGTTGATTCAGTACATATTGACTGAATTGACACGTCCTTGAAATATTTTTTTCTTGGACATGAAGATTTCCTCACGATGTTTTACTTGACCGCCTAAACACTGCCTCTGTTCTTACGGAAAAGGTATATAGCATACAAAGTTAAGTATTTTAAATTGACTATCATTTTGATCTCAATGAAGTTTGTATTCACAAGGCTGCTGGAAATATGCAGGAAGTCGATGGATGCAAGTGGTTCAGGACATGAAGATTTCGCCACAATGTTTTCCTTACCCTTCTAAACATTTCGTAACTTAAAATTGCAATGAATTAAAAGCTAGTAAAAAATTAAAGCTAGTGTTCAGGGAAGCTTACAACAATTAAAAATTTAGTAAATCAATATATTAATTTACTGCATCAACTAAATTTACTAAACTTTACACGTGGTAGAGTCACGCTGCAGCTATGTTATGGTTGTATTCTCGACCGGGGAAGGATCACGCTCTCATAGACAACTAGCGTGAAATAGCAGATTTACGATGCTGCGTGTCGTACAATGATAGTGAGAAACAGTAACCTTTTTTCTCGAACCGAAGCATTCCATCTTGGTTATCAGAGTCGAAAACGTATCTTCATTTTGATTTTTAATTGAGGATAAATGTTAATGTCTAATAGGCCACAGCATTAACTTACCACTAGGTGAACTGTGTGCTCGTTTGTTACCTAATTCTATTCAATAACAAGTCCACGTTTTTTTATAGAATAAGGGTGACAAACGAGCACACAGTCCACCTGATGGTAAGTGGATGCTGTGGCCCGTAGACATCTACATTTATCCTCGATTAAGAATCAAAACGCAGATGCGTTGTCACCCCTGAGGACCCAAGAAGACCCAAGAGGCATTCCAGAAAAAAGGGTCTCCGGATCTCTACACTCACCATACAAAACGCAGCAGTATTAAGCTGCTATTTTACGCTGGTATTCTGTGAGAGTGTGTTCCTTCCCCGGTCGAGTCAACCCATTCGTGCTACAACCATAATATAGCTGCAGCGTGGCTTTACCACGTAAGAACGTCTTTGAAGTATGTTTAATTTCTGAGACGTTTTTTTTTAACTTCCCAGCGGGAAGTTATTGTAATGGGTCCGATTTTGCAAATTGTTCAAGGTCTTTAGAGTCGAATATTATGGTTTTAAGGGGATGTCCGTGTGTACACATGTATGTATGTATATATGTATGTTCGGATTCAATTTTCGCCTCGTTTATCTCGAGAACAAAAAGTAATATTGACATGGGACCAGTTTCATTTAACGTATAATTATGTAACTTAGACTTCATTAAATTTTGAGCTAAATTGACCAAGTCGTTTTTGTGCCGAATGAAAAATTGTATAAAATATTAAAACATATGATATTTTTTTATTCTTTCCACTGGGAATTAGTCGTGTGGACCTTTCGGGTCGCACCTAGACAGCTTATTAAATTGAGAAATTCATAGATAATCATAAATAGTTACCTCTTCCACAGCAGCCACCAGCCAGAGAGGTCGTCGCCATAGTTGGTTAGGTCTGTATCATCTTGAGAGCCCACGTCTATGGCCAGGATGTGTTTTGCGCCCAGCGACCTCATCACATCAGCTAGAACGTACAAGTTTATCGTTACTTAGGATTAAATGCTATATAAATTAGTTGTCACTAACGTTTTTTTTTTCTATTTAAAATTTTCTTAATTTTACATAACAAAATGTCACAAAAATACAGTTTTTATTGTACTAATTCAATTCAGTTCAATTTTACAACACTTCCACAGTTGTAAGCGATAAGGTGTTTTTTTCAGTAAGAATAATATATATATAATTCAAACTAAACTATTCCATCGGTAAGCATAATGTAGGGCAGCCCTCCACTAGATGGAGTTACGACCTGCAAGCCTATTCGCTAACTTGGTTGACATCAAAATGATCACTTTTTAGTACATTGCGTCGTATGCTTAATAATCTCTGGTCTTATAGAAAAAGTAGCTAGCATACAAAGCAATGTATTTTAAATTTACTATCATTTTGATGTCAACGAAGTCTGAAAATAGGCTGCTGGAAAGATGCAGAAAGTCGATGGAGGGTTGTAAGGATGACGAATGATGATATATATCATCATTGTATTGACATTCACGTAGAAAGTAAAGAGTTTGTTAAGAGAATATCCAGGCATCAAGAAAATTGAACAATAAGTTGTTTAACAATCTATTGATATCGCGCTGTGACCGAACGACATGGTCTAGACAACTGAGAGGACTGCAGCTCGGACTTATTATACATATTAAAAATTGAAGAATTTACCATTACGTATTCCCCTGTTCCTCGTCCAAATATGCATCGATTTTAACTTTAGTTTTCAACAACATTTACATATTAATTAAGAGGGGTTACTACGTGTCTTTTTTGTTTTATTTTTTATGTTAGCTAAGTTTGTTTGTTCTATGACTTATACCATCAAAAGTTAACTGCTGAACATAGGCCTTATCCATATGTAGCTCATAGGGATATTTGCAACAGTTGCCACGCTTGGCAAGGGGGTTAGCAACAGCAGGTTTTAATTTTCATTCAGCTATTACCAGGAAGATGCCGTTGCCCAACTCCCGGTTCAGCTTCCCTCTATCGCCTATTGCGACACTCACAGGATGATATGGTGTGGTGGATATTCTTACACAGTCTACACGGTTATGTCTTAATACAGCGACATAACTAAACATTTTTAGTAACATTAGAAGATTTTTAGTTTATAAAATATTTACTTTATAGAAAAACTAAATAAACTATAGAAACATTACAGTGCTAGACATAGATTATATAGAAAATTAGTCAGGGAGACCACAGAGGAATACGTTTGTATGGACTAAACGCCGACCAGATATACTCATAGGAGGTTTCTTGGTTAATTCAATAGTTAACGCCATAAAAACACCAAACACGAAAATTATAATTAATTAAAATCTCAGAAATAGCGATAATACGCTAGTGCTTCTAACTAACCTGGTACATTATTGACGTAGCAACCGTCCAACAAGAGATGTCCATCGATGGGGTCGCAGATGGGCGGAAATATGCCGGCGATGCTCATCGACGCCCGGCAATATCTCCACAGTACACCTGGCACGTAGCAACATGACTAGTCTACGTCCGGAAAACCGTACAGCCGGACTCGCAAGCTCCGTGATTTGTTGATGCTAATCGATGTTGCCATTACTTACCGTACGACGACAGCTTTGTGACCGAGTGTAAATATTACAATGGCAAGACAGATGTAAAAATGTTTTTTAAATCCTTATAATGTACCTTTCAACTTTTTAAAAAGCAAATTTTGCTGGTCAGTGCTAATAAAATAAAATAAAATAAGTCCAACTCCAATCTAAAATTAAGCTCTTTAGGTAGAATAGAAATAGGAAAGTGCTGTTTTAAAATCAGAGATAGCGTAAACAGCCAAAATAGGTGCAATAGTAAACCGGAAGAACATACCGCAAAAATATTTACACTCAGGCTACAATAAAAAAGGAACGCGATCAACAACCGTCTCGTCCATTACGCGTTGTACATTTGTCACGTGCTACACAAGTCACGGTATCCATGTTTCACGTGACGCAACTGTCACGTTGGGTAAAAGTCACGCGTTGTGATCACGCGCCGTGATTGGTTTACCTGGCAAGTTGTTGACGTAACCGCCGTCCAATAGGAGGTGGCCGTCTACGGGGTCGCAAAGCGGCGGCATGTAACCGCTGAGCGACATCGAGGCACGTATGTATCGCCACAGAGAACCTGCGACGCGCGGCAGCGTTAGATATTTGAGCCTAATCATGATTTATTACATATGCCAATTTTTAAGAGTCTAGTTGTACTAAATTTAATTATGATGATCACATTAATAGTGCATTAAAATATGACTTAAAAATTGGAAAATTGTGAGATACTTAATTTTGATATTTATATGTGTGTTTTTAAGTAATTTTAGAAACATATAATCACAAGTTATTATCGGTACTGAAACCCTTTCCCGAATAAACAAACTTCTTTAATATCTAAGATCGAACGCCGAACGTCAGAGATACTTTGTATCATTTAAGGTAAAATATTTAGAGATCATGCAAAGAGTTAGCGCAAAAAGGTCTTGACCGTGATAAAATGTGATATATTAACTCATCACCGATAAATATTTACAAACTTGAATATAAGGCATTATGGCCATTAACTTTATCTATTGTAATGCGTTAGACAACACAATCCATGGAAAGGAAACGATGAAAAAAAAAATAAGTCGCCCATAGATTATATATGACTTACTACCATAATTCCCATTCAACTATAAGAAAGCTAAGAGGTTGAGAAACTGGTAATTCTGACAGGGTTTCCGCGTACATGCATTGTCATAACCATGCACTGATTGATGCATTTAAAATATAACACATTAAAACAATAAAAAAAATATGTATGTATTCAATTGAATAATAATAATGCAAATCAAAAATTGTTTATGTGTATGTACATCATATAAATATATAATTCATAATCATTAATTCTTGATATTGGAATTGATCACCCAATCTTAATCGTCGGTGGAGTTAACATGTTAAGTTGGCTTATTCGGTAACCGTCCTATGCTCTGATAATCTGATGCAATCTAGTCACCATCGATTTTATTTTCTTTCATAGACTAGAATCGACTTATAACAACAAAATGTAGTTTGTTGATAGTCTCGGGTTTAAATAAGAGTCTGTCACTGTCAAGATTTTGATATACGCTGTCTTATTCTATACTTATTTTCCACGGGACTTCAGTGGAAGTTTAAGCGTGAAATTAATTAAATACTATTTTTTTGTAATAAGATTATAAGTTTTTTTCAACCATAGTCTTATTATGATACGTTCTTTCATAGAGCAACACGAGCCATCAGCGGAACTGAGGGGAGCAGCCATAGCGTTTTTTCTCGATACAGATGTCTGTAATTTTCTCCGGAGGGTGAAACTGACATATAACAATTAAAACAATAAACTAATAACTATACACACACAGATACATTATAACAGTGTCGATCGACAGCGACAACTCGGATACAGGATCGGATCATTCGCTCGATCAATCTACATATTGTATGAGGGCGAGTGGCCTGTGTTGGTAAACAAATCCGAAACAACTTGATCGCTATTAGTGTAATTTTTAAGTTTAAAAAGAAGTAAATAGCAATAATATAATTAAAAATTATTTATTTATGAAAGGTAAAACCATCTTTTTGTAAATTTGACGTGGTACTAGTACGGCAACTAGTTTTATTGTACGCATAGGACCGTAACTTATACTTTGACAGTCTCCTCTGTGCCTACTACGCCTGCGTATGGCTACTCTACCGCCGTTGGCCCGTGTTGCTCTATGCGTTCTTTATTGAGGGTCTCGGGTTTAAAAAAAAGTTTTCGTCGTGAAAGAAATTTGGCATTCGCTGTCTTACATACTCTACATTTTAGTTTACATATGCTCTTTGTTACAAAAGAAGTCCTTTTAGCCGCGGTGCCACAGTATTCGTCAAATTTGACATTTGCTGTCTAAGCCCTTTACATTTCCGTTCACAAGAAGTCCCGTGAATCTACATCCGCAAGAATCTAATATGTCCTCTTTCTTAGGTATTGGGTTATGATTTTATTTATGGCAAATCGCCTTCGATCAACAATACCAACTAGATAACGGGTCACGTACAAAATCATAGCTAAATACTGTCCGCATGAATATAAAATATGAAAAGACATAAATTAAATAACATTTAGTGTGAAATCAACCTTAAGTTATAAGAAATAAAGTTCTTTTTCCCGTTATTGTCTTGCGAGCTACACTCTCACGTACAAGAACTCACGTCTCATATGCGCTCTTATTTACTGACATGGATTTCTTGCGTCGACCCGACATCTAGTTGGTATTGTTGATCGAAGAAAATCGCAAAGATATTAAAATTAAATTAATAAAAATTTAAGATAAAAGTGCGGTTTGCAAGAAATTGTTGGGAACAGGATTAAGAAAGGAATATTTCGTTGGTTCTTTCTACGAGAGTATGAATGCGAAGAGTAACAAAGCAAATTGATGCTCCAGAAATGTGAGAGTCGGCAAGGGATGCCTTGGACGGAAATTTATCGAACAAATTGACGATATGTTGAAGATGGGCCAAATTAGAGCCCTTAGCCGACGAGCATATACGCGTAGATATATGGATACGAAAAAAGCGATAGAGGTGTGTCAGTATCGTGCCAAATGAATTCCATAGTCTCTGCCTACTCCTCTGAGTGACAGGCGTCAATGTTCTGCAATTTAATGTATAGTTATTCATTCATCCACCTAGCTTCTCAAAAGTTCGCTGCTGACATAGAAGGCGCTTAGCTGGTGCGTGTACGCAAAGAAGCCCCCACCTTTATATCCAAAAACCCCCCTAGGGCCCGCGAACCCTGGAAAGCCAGCCCCACCCCCCCCCCCCCTTTTTTATTTTCGTTATCCTGTTTTATTTTTGTCTTTGTTTTGTTATTGTTATCATACTGATTCTGTTACAATGAGTAAGAAAGTAATGCTGACAGCCGCGCTCGTGAAATGATTATTAAAGTGGACAATTATTTTGTAAAGGAGAAAGAGGGCTCTAAGTTATAGATTCAAAATATAAACCGTGTCTTAAACAATGCTTTAGACACTACTGAGGACATGTTAATTTTAAAGCAACAACCAAAGTGACGGAACGTGTGGCATGACGGAACGGAGCGTGTGACAAAATTACGACGAGAGCATGAATCTGTAACAGCTAGTGGCAGCAAAATGAAAACTCCAAAAAGCGATGGGACATGGAAAGGAATATTTAGACGGATTTTCTTTAACAGCATTAAGAAATATAATTCATTTTACGTATACGGTGAGAATAGAAATACCTACAATGCGCAAGATCATGGCAGTTGCAAAAAAAGATCTTAATTATACACAAAGTGAAACAACATTAAGAAAACTGATCAAAAGTGATTTAGGATATCTGTTTAAAAGATGCTACCAGAAAAGAGTGGCTTTAATAGAAAGACTCCAAATTCAAGCGTGGAGGGTTAAATATTTCCACCGCATGAAAGACAATGACTTGCTAGGTGCCAACAAAAAACTTGTTATGTATCTCGATGAAACATGGGTACACGCACACTACACTGTAAAAAAATGTTGGCAAACACCAACCGATATTAGAGTGAGAAGGAAGGATAGCCCTGGCCGTCGTTGGATAATAGTGCACGCGGGAAGTGAAAACGGTCTACTTATAACGTTTAAGTCAGACACAAAAACCTGGGACTATCACGATCAAATTAACGTTGGGAATTTCACAGTGGCTGACTGAAAAACTGATACCCAACACACCAAGCAATTCAATTATTGTAATGAACAACGCTCCTTAGTAAGGAAGAAAATAAACCTCACAACATTAATTCTAAAAAACAGGTGATGGTTGAGTGGCTCCAAGTACACAACATCGACTTTTCAAATAAGTACAATAAACCGGAGTTATATTTATTAATAAAACAGCATAAACTGCCGAAAAATTATAAAATCGACAAATTGTTAGCTGACAACGGCCATGAAGTAGTAAGATTGCTACCATATGCTGCCATAACTGCGACCTCAATCCTAGCAAATAGGTATATTTGGAACCAAACAGAGAGTTTCAGAAAAGAATGTAAAACAATAAGAAGGTAAAATTGAATCTTCAACCTTGGAGGCGTTGGCGTCAATAACTCCAGATGATTGGAAGAAAGAAGAATACTGGCGTAAAGACCGAATAACTGACGAATTATTTATCCTCAATACGGCAGACGGCAGTGAATCTGATACAACGGACTCTGAAACTAGTTCTGATTTAGATGATAATATAAGTGGAATTAAAGAATTAGTCTATAATTATTAAATTGTATTAATAAACATCGAATTTTTAAAACTTAGTTTTATTTATTAGTTGTTCATTAAAATCGGTTGAGAGGTTTAATGAAAACGTATGAAATAGACAAGACTTCTATTTGTTGGTCAACGGAGACTGGTATTATAAGAAAAGGTTGATTTTTAAGCTTCTATTTTTTTCTATTGTTGCATACTTGCGTGCAATAAAATGTTTACAAACATTTCACTTCCGTCTTGTATAACACCGACAAAGCAAACCGTCTATTGATTTGCAAATGGTAACATACCGGCGCGGCGCTGCCCTGACGCATAAGCGAGCGATATTATATTATAAAAGGTATAATTATTGTTTAATTGATAATTTATTTTTAGAATAATAAAATATTTCTAATATTTCTATTAATTTTTAATAATGTGTTCTTATATTTTACACGAACACTACACATTGAATAAAACTACTTTTACGGATTTTATTAAACATTGTACAATTAAACGCGATAAAATCCGTAAGAGTAGTTTTTTCAATTCATTTTTTAATTTCAACGTAAAAAGTGGGAGTTTTTATTATGACATAACAAACCACATTAAATCCCGTAAAAAGCTTATATGTTTATTACGTAATATTCTGTCAAACTCAACATTACGCTAAATATATCTGTATTATCCTTTGTCGTCACTATGCAAAATTATATTACGATAGTACGAGTACTTACTAAATAGTGATCGCATCATCAATAATTCAATAATGAGGAGAAGATAACTTGAAATGTAATTTCATTGGTCGCGAGGAATCTAAATGATCAGGTCAACAGATTTCTTGAAATGCACCATTATTAATGCAAAATTCCCAAAAGTAGCTGTAGACATTCATGTTGAGACGACTACGCTAAAGAGGATAATCCTTACTCTGTGAGCCTCAGATAATATTTATTGTCCTATAAAGTCAAAAATAATCATCGTCATTGCAGATCGTATTTTTCTGCTACAACTAGTTCACTGCTATTGTCGTATTATTGTGTTTGAAAATCGGACAGTGAAAATGTTAATCAGAAATCATAAATATTTATTGACCATAATATAACAATCGTTACAGGCAAGTCATTGGTTACAAAAGTTTTTATAAATTTATAAGATTAAATTATATTATTGTATCTTAATTTAGTTACATTGACGCTTTACGTCATAGAATTAGGTAATTTATTTTGTTTGTACGTTACACAAGAATGATGATTCCATGAGTTGCATTATGTATATAAAATATTTAAGTTTCCGTTTAAATTTGCTATAGTGTAGGCTGCTTAAACTATTTGGTAATTTGTTATACATCAATATTTTTGAGTAATCTTAATACAAGAACCCTCACGCCTGTCATCCAAAAGAGTTTGCATAGACTACGAGCTTCCATTGGCTCGTTGTTTAATGTATTCTTAATAATTTGGCCCATATTCGCCATCGCCAATTTAGTCGATTAACTACCGCCTAAAGGCACTCACTTCTGTAGTACAAATTGTCTGTGTCACTCTTTCAGCATGTCGTTAATTTTTGCCATGTTCATAACGTGAAAAAGGGAGAGGTTTAGTAGAATTATCTATATAAAACATTTATTACAATAAACATACACTAATCTACACACCAAAATAGTTTGAAAAATCAACTAACGTAACAAATTATATATAATGGTATCTCAACAGACATTGTCAGCCGATTTAATGATTTTCATACTATTATCTAAAATACTATTTATCTTATATGAAACTTAATATAAGGTCTATTAAAAAGATAAAAACATTTTTTTACATTTTACACAGATAACGAAAAATCACCTGATGAATTTAAATGTATGTATATTTATTTATCAATTTCTTCTTAATTTTTATTGCATTCACTATAAATAGGCGGGATCCCAATTTAACACCTATTTCAGAGTAATTCACTCTATAGACGGGCCTTATCCTAAGGCGGTATCCCAATTTAACACCTATTTCAGAGCAATTCACTTGTTAATAGACCTTATTATAATATAAGTATCTGAAGTAATGTCTAGCGTTCTATTACCATTGTTACTACAGTGATGGGAATGAAAAAAAGAAAAAAATATGAAAAATAAAACCACACTCATGCAAATACATGATGGTAGATGGAGACCCTGTGAATGATATACGAATGATAATGGATTTATACATTTATATTATTCACTCCAACCCGACATTGTTTACACGCACCGATCTATTATATAAATAATTAAAAATAACATTTGAAATTATCTCTCAAAATTATTAAGCGTTATTCGGTAAACCAATCACAAGCGCACAGTTGTTTTTTTTTTCTTTAGATGAAGTAAGGAATGGCAACACCCAAAAGCAAATGTCGGATTCGTAGACATTGTTTAGAGAGACATTAAAAAAACAATATTATTTGTATAAACATCATAAGATAATGTGATTGTACATAAATACGGTCTAAAGTAAACAAGGAATACTTTGACACAAAATACTTGACACGGTGTACAAACAAACGGACACATAAATGCAAGTGAGTGTGGTTGTGGGAGGGTCAACAAAAAAATCACTGTAGCGGAATAAAACAAAATGGAAATTAATTAAATCGCACCTGCCTGTCACAACTAAAAATGGACAAAGTGCGATGGGAAGAAATAAAATTCTAGTCGAATCTCCCTATAGCTATTTGTCCCGATTCTTGGTGACCTTTGTCGTGAACCACCATAGCTATTAAAGAACGTATGATGGCACAGACTACTCCGCAAATAATATTGATTTTAAACAGCAATCGACATCGAAATGGCAAATATATTCGTTTGAACGAAAAGCACACCCACAGCTGGTCTGCAGATATATAAATATATTATAAAAGCTACATAATACGACATGCATAGCTTAGATATGTTTAACATAGTATGAGAACCATGTCAATAAACGAATGGCCCTCACTTTTTTATTATCAATTTATGTCATGATATTTGAAACAGATACGAAAGTATAAAACCTCTTAAATTTCTTTATGAAGCGAAAACCATTTTGGATTAGTAAGTGCAACGAAAGCGGCAAAATTATCATCAAATAATAAGACATAAATATTTCCTGTCCATGAATGTGTTGCGTTAATATCAAACACTACGAATGGATCTGAGTGGAGAAAGTTAATGTAATAGAAAAAGTTAAAATAAATCTTCACAGCCTTAATATTTTTTAATACTATCTACTAGTAAAATAAACGCAATATTTCATTTTTATTTTTTTTTTATTTAACTAATTAATTTTGAATTACTAAATTGTGCCTAGGAGAGTGGTGAAAATTAATGTTGTTAAGGTCACCAAATTTCATTTAGATAATATAAAATTTAAATCATTTAGTCACAATTTAAATACTTCATGTACAGCAGTGGACTTGTTATCAGAAGTATCGATTCATTATTAAAAGAGTTATCGAGTTTACTAATCTAATGATTTTGAATTAATTAAGGTATTTGATGCTTGAGTCTTTCAATTCATTTATTTTTTGACTTCTCTTTTATATAATACGTTTACCTCAGTGGCATATTTACCATACTTGCCACGCTTGGCAAGCGGGTTGACAACCGCAGCTTTTTTTATTTAGCTGTTGTATGGAAGATATTGTTGCCCATCTCCTAGTTCAGTTTAGCTCTGTCTCCTCTTACGAAACCAACAGGCTGACAATTTCATTTAATCCCTGATCAAGAAACTGAATGATAGGTCAGTATTAGCAGCCAAAAAAAGGAAAATAAAATGTATTTTATAATTTACTAGCGATCCACCCCGGCTCCGCTTGGGAGATTTCTGAATCTAGACAACAGCGCCACCTACCGGGTCCAAATGTGAATCTAAACTAACTATGGACCCAGCCAAACACAAAAAAATTCCTCAAAATCGGTCGTGCCGTTGTTGAGTATTAGCGAGACTTTCTTTTTATAGGATAGGGTGACAAACGAGCACACAGTCCACCTGACAGTAAGTGGTTGCTATGACCCATAGACATCTACATTTATTCTCGGTTACGAATTAAAATGCAGATGTGTTGTCACCTTTGATGACTAAGATGGAATGCCTCAACTCCAGTAAAACGGGTCTTCGGATCACTACAATCACAATACGAAACGCAGCAGCATTAAGCTGCTATTTTACGCTGATATTCTATGAGAACGTGGTCCTTCCCCGGTCGCGCCGACCCATTCGTGCTACAACCATAATATAGCTGCAGCGCGGCTCTACCACGTAAATAATTAGCATTCTATATATTTCATTGATCGTTTTCACCACTCTCCGTAACACCAAGTTCAAAATACTGAACATAAAACGTCCAATCGAGACTTGTGATAAAACTTGAACTGAAGATCCAATACTTACCATGGCGGTGCACTCGCATGCAACTGGAGCTTATGTCAGTAGTGACAGTGAAGTAAGGAAGCCACAGATCTTCGATGTGGACATCCCCGAATGTTCCACGAATGGTTGCATTAAACTGTCTCCCGGAGAACATTGATGTGGACGGGTACGTTAGGTCGAGAAGTTGTTTGCCCCACTGGGTCATTTTCTAAAAAGACATATTTAAAAATACCTATTCAGAAATTAAAAGCACATCAAACGAAGTACAATTGTGTAAGAATACTAGTTGTCAAAAGACAAACACTGCAATAATTTGAGGTCTAAGCCCACAAAGCGTGTTTTCGAGATTACAGTATGTTTAAACAGAAGATTTTACATTTAGTAAATTTACCGTTTAGATCGCGTACATATATATTTTTTTCTTTTTTTTTCTGATCTTAGAATTGAGTTTGGGACGTTAAGTTTTTGATAAATCGACAAGAATGCTATTTTTAACTGTGTTTTTAGTTTGTGTAAAGTTTAGTTAAAAAGCATAAAGTTTATAAGTTATATTAATTTAAGTTCATAAGTGATATTAATTTAAAAAAAAGAAAACATTAATCTTATAGTGTGTACATATTTCAATTAATAAATCGCCTTTAAGTAAATATTACAGAAAAAATTGAGATGATAGAAGTAATGTTATAATGTTCTTGACGTTTACTGTGAATAAGCTGTAAGTAACTACTGTATAAAATATATCATAACATGTGGCGTATTTACCTGAGACCAATCTCTAGCCTTCTGTGTTACCGTGGTAATGTTTCTTTCCATGCACCATAAAGCTCCCATGAAAGCCCCGATGCTCACACCACCCACCATGTCAATCGGAATGCCGGCCTCCTGTAAAATAAATTGAAATATGTTGACATATTTCACATAATAAACAATACCACTTGTATCGTCATTTCATACTTAAACAGCCAGCACATTGATATTTTTAAGAAAAATGTAAATTAAATGTGTTACAATGTGAAAATAAAATATATGGCTCGAAGGATCATGAAAGTAAATAGTGAAATTTGGTGATATATATGAAAATGTTCGCTATTAATTAATCTTGTAGTAAAATTATAAAATAATTAAAAAAAAAAACAAGACCCCCATTCTATTAAACTTAAAAAAACAAAACCGTATACTTAATTATAATATCACATTATTTTAACACATCCTGGATTGACTGGGAGAAAAAGCCAGAAGTATGTTCTTTGTAATCCTTTTTTTTTAAAGATGTACAATAAAATATAACTGAACCAAATAATAAATAATTACAAGTATTTGAGCACTAGCTGTAGAACAATTAATACACATTGACCATAGCTCCTTAAAGATAATAACGTCATAGCCTCCGGATCGATTGGTTGATTAGTAAGTCGGAATGAGTATAAATGCCATTTTTTACTTATTATAAGTGCTTGACCACAATCCCAATTGGATGGCATGTTGGTGAGTGTGTAGTACTGTGTGAGTGGTTGAGGTGGGTTGGTGAGTGAGAGTGAGCCGGCACCTGTATGGCGCGGATCATGCCGACGTGCGCGGCGCCGCGAGCCCCGCCCCCTCCCAGCACGAGCCCCACCGACGTGCCCGTGAGCCAGCGCGCCAGCCGAGAGAAGTCCGAATGCACGTTCGCTTCAGACATCAGCACTTTGCTGTACAGCTCGCTCTGGAAGTCACACCTCATTGAAATCATTACAAGTGTTGTTATCATTTTTATGTATATGTAGTGTTATTTATTTGATTTATGTATTCATACAATCGTGAATATTTATAATTATGCACTTTAGATTGTCACAGTTTAAAAAGTTCACCAACTAGTCACTACATCTTAAATTTATCTTTTGTGATTTGGATACACACCTGTACGTGTTTCACAAAATTTATGAAAAAATTTAATTTACTAACTATAAAAACCTCGGTTTCGCCTCACGGCATAATCAGGGTATGTAACAATAATCAATAATCGCAAGTATAAATTATACATTTTTAATAGTTTAATAAATTGGCGTACTTTCTAATCCGTGCTTTGTCTTTTATTGAAATAAATTTAAAAAAATACTTCAATCGGATAAATAGTTCAGAAGTTACACGATCACTAACAAATGCAACAACGGATGATATTATATAATAATATTTCCATCAAGTCACATGTGATCATCAACGAATCTCTTATTGTGGGTGTCAAAGCAAGAAGCAGTAAAAATAATAATGCCCCTCATACCCAATTCGGTTACAGTCTCAATGGAGACCAGCCATGTGCGCAGGACAGGATTATAGTGCACATGTGTATACACATACACATAAGTTCACTCTATTTCTTCAATCTCATAGTCCGATGGAACACTAATCCGACACGATAAGAGAAAGATCAGACGCAGAACCTGCGGCTTTACGTGATATCCGAGGCACGGGGATGAAACATTACCAACTTGTTGACTCGGGATTGCTACTGACGATTTCTTGACAGGAAAAGCGGAATCCTAACCCTCAGCTGTGAATATTAATAAGATACAATCTCAAAAATACGTAGTGCGATCGTCATCAAAGTAACGATTGCAGCGTACCCAGCGGTGGGCCACAGTGGGTACTTACAACGCGGTACTGGCTGCGGCGCGTAAACATACGGTGCGGGCAGCGCACGTGGTGATGCTGGCTAACCCACGAGCGCATGTTGAGCCAGTGCACGGTGCATGTGGTGGTGCAGCGGTGGGCAGCAGTGGGTACTCACGACGCGGTACTGGCTGCGGCGCGTGAACATACGGTGCGGGCAGCGCACGTGGTGGTGCTGGCTAACCCACGAGCGCATGTTGAGCCAGTGCACGGTGCACGTGGTGGTGCAGCGGTGGGCAGCAGTGGGTACTCACGACGCGGTACTGGCTGCGGCGCGTGAACATACGGTGCGGGCAGCGCACGTGGTGGTGCTGGCTAACCCACGAGCGCATGTTGAGCCAGCGCACGGTGCACGTGGTGGTGCAGCGGTGGGCAGTAGTGGGTACTCACGACGCGGTACTGGCTGCGGCGCGTGAACATACGGTGCGGGCAGCGCACGTGGTGGTGCTGGCTAACCCACGAGCGCATGTTGAGCCAGCGCACGGTGCATGTGGTGGTGCAGCGGTGGGCAGCAGTGGGTACTCACGACACGGTACTGGCTGCGGCGCGTGAACATACGGTGCGGGCAGCGCACGTGGTGGTGCTGGCTAACCCACGAGCGCATGTTGAGCCAGCGCACGGTGCACGTGGTGGTGCAGCGGTGGGCAGCAGTGGGTACTCACGACGCGGTACTGGCTGCGGCGCGTGAACATACGGTGCGGGCAGCGCACGTGGTGGTGCTGGCTAACCCACGAGCGCATGTTGAGCCAGCGCACGGTGCACGTGGTGGTGCAGCGGTGAGCAGTAGTGGGTACTCACGACACGGTACTGGCTGCGGCGCGTGAACATACGGTGCGGGCACCGCACGTGGTGGTGCTGGCTAACCCACGAGCGCATGTTGAGCCAGTGCACGGTGCCCGACGGCACCGGCCCGCCCTCACGGTGCAGCAGCACCAGCTCCTTCTGCGTGCGGATCGCCAGCCGCTCGATCTCCTTTTCGATCTGGACCAACAACGTATAGCATTTAAATTTTTTTAAAATTACACGTTTGGAGTACTCTGAATCACATCACCTATCATCCACATATTATTCTTTAAATCATATATCCTTTAGAACGATTTTCAGTCACAGCTGCCAGGTTCATTGGTGTCTAGCCACCTACGTATTACAGTATAATAATGCACGATAATAAGCACAAGCACATTTGTACTCTGTATTCAAAACCGAAGAGAGATAAGACACAAAACCAACGGCTTTACATGCTTTCCGAAGCCCAGGACTGAAAAACCGCCAACATTTTGACAACGGACCGCTCCTGAAAATTCCTTGACTGAATAATCGGATAACTACTTTTTGTGCCGATCGGGGATTCGAACCCAGGACCACATGATCAGAAGCAGTGTAAACGAACGCTAGACCACATAACTATCGGTAGCTTCGCCATATTACTTGTATTATTATCTTCTTTACAGGACTGTGTAGAAGTCCAGACGGAGTAAGGTCAGAGAGTGATATCTACCCAGCTCTGACCTTTCTTCTGCCGCCATATAGCGGTGCTTGCACTGCCGTGTTCCGGTATTAAAGGTACAAAGAACCAGTATAATGTGAAATCCTTAAGAATTTCCATCCCAGTCTTCGGAGGTGACAACGCATCTGTTGCCTTATTTATTTTTACGTTGTCTGCTGGTGTCTAGGGACTAAAGTAGCAAATTATCACCACTGTGGACTGTAATTTCGCTTGATAGTTCAGTTTCATTAAAAAATTAGCAGCATCATAGGTGCTAGACGTCTGATTCTGCAATCTTCAATCCATATGTGGAGATAAGGGCTCCCTACAATGAGGGCTAATAATCTTGCGTCGTCTCGAAATCGAATCGAAATCGAATCACCAGATGTCACTAGGTAGACACTGCGATGAAGTTTTTATTACATAATGTAATTTAATTGAGAGGTTAGTTTCAAATAAAGGTTTATCAGTTTCTACAGTATATAATTAATCTCAGTGTTTGTTCTTTAATCTTTTGCACATTTTTCACATTTTTTTTTAATTTTTCTACTTTTACTAATGTCTATGGTTTGGTTTATTTGTTTTTAATCTAATTAATATAAAATATAACTCACAGTACAGAAACAAACATTAACCTTTACATTTTCAAACAAATTAACTTCTCCGCTATGAAATCTTTGAAAATAATATAATATACATCATCACCTGTCATGTTATGCCATGTTGGCAGAAAAAGTCATGGATGCCCAAAGTCATTGACAAAGACGAAAAACCTCTATTCAACAGTGGAATTTTATGGCCGATAAAGAGATATAGATAAACCATGGTTATGAAGGTCTAAGGTGTTTAAAGTCCAGTTGTCTCGTTAAGGATTGGGCTACTTTCAGCTTTTGAATAACTCTTTTCTTAATTTTTAGCTGCTGTGTTGTTCAAAATCTATTAAAAAATTGGCATTGTAGTGTCTTATGAAAGGTACACGGATACTGCAGGCTCATTTAAATTGGACGAACGTAAACATTTAACACAAACTTTAGTTTTACTTACAACGAGACATTAGTCTTCACGGGTGACAGGTGACAACGCATCTAGATCTTGATTTATAACCGAAAATAAAAGTTGTAGTTCTATAGGTCTAAAGGCCGCAGAATCCACTTATCTTTAGATGGACTGTGTGCTCATTTGCCACCATCACTTTAAAAAAATGAAAAAACTCAATTATAAATACATTTTCTATCAAATAAGAATTCCACCAATACACAAAAACTCAAGTGAAATAAGTTAAAAACAAATATTTTGTTAACACAAATAACAAATGTTTGCATACCTTTCCGATACTGGGTTGTTTATCACCTAATGCGACAATCAATATACAATCAGCTTGTCGGATACAGCGCTGGGTCCACTGGGTCAAACTGGGATCGCACTGGTATAAAGCCACCTGTAAGCAAACAACAGAGTATTTCAAAGTATCAAAAAAATGGTGGGGGTTAGGGGATAAGATATAGGGGTGGTTTGCTTTATTTACTTTCCTATAGCATTCTTATTTTTAATACTATTTAATACTGAACTCTTAGTGCCATCTGTTGGCCTACACCAAAAGTGTCTCCAAGGAAGTTTACAAAATCGATACCCACATGTAAAATGAAAACTAGGGTTATAAAAAGCTGCTAGTTACCATCATAGAATACTATAATACATACATAATAGAACGGGGGAGTGGGCGGAGCCCGCGTAACCACTAAAATGTCACGAATACGTCAATTCACACGTATAAATGTCAATACGAGAAGTGTTTTGACGTTACAATCCTTTCCAAATTTCGCATATAATTATTTAAAAAATGCCAAATTGCACCCTATTTACAAATAAATATGTATTAAAATTTAAGTTTTTTTTAATAATGGTCTTAAACATTAATCAAAAGTCTTAAATGTTTCAATTTATTCAGTCTGTCAACACAGCGAATCGGGTTTGGCGACGCCAAACCTCGTACAAAATAAAGTTGACAGCCATTCTATTGTGTATTATAGTATTCTATGGTTACCATATATTGATTAAACTTTAAAAAATAACGCCACAATACCTTATGTTTGTCCTCTTGTTGTGCCAACCACGAGCTGAGTCTGTACTCATTGTTTGGATCCATAATTGTAAGTCCCAGCAGCTTCCTGATGACGTCAGATGTCAGTCGTACAGTCGGCCCTGTAAATAACAAAGCGATCCATTATATATTTAACTAATTCTGCCTGCGACTTTGTACGCGTAAATATATCACTAAAACAAAACTTGTCCTAGTTTTATACACAATCTGTGTGAAATAATAAGTCATATACGTACATAGGCTAACCCCATAATTGCCTCACAGGGGGTATTTTGCCATTTTAGAATCTCAGTTTTTTTATTATTTTGAGTTGTTATGAAGAAGATGCTGCTGCTCATCGCCTGTCTCAGTTTCCCTCTGTCGACTCTTACGACACCCGCGGGACGATATGGGGGTAGTCGATATTTTTACACCGCCACTACACGGCTATATGTCATTACGCTAAATAAATTTCAAAGTACTAGGTTTTCAAAGTCCGCTGGGTAGATACCACTGTATTACTTACAATTTCCATCAAACAACATTGTATGCACTACTGTGCTCCGGACTAAATATAAGGTCGGTTTTTGATATACTATAAGGTGACCAAAAGTTAAATTTAGAGCCTATATACGTCCCACAGTTGGCACAGGCTTTCTATTATTGGTGAGAGGGTTTTAGGTTAAGGAAATGTCCACCGCGCTGCCCCAATGCGTGCTGGCGAATTTACCATTTCTTTGAAATATACATACATACATAAACACTCACGCCTGTCACCCAGAGGGTTAGGCAGACTACAGATTTCCATTTAGCACGATCCTGACATACCTCTCTCGCTTCTTCCACATCCATATACCTACGCATACATGCTCGTCGGTTAAGGGTACTCTTAATTTGGTCCAATTTCAGTATATCGCCAATTTGGTCGACAAACTTCCGCCTAGGACGTCCCTTTCCGACTCTTCCATTCACTTCTGCAAACATATATTTGCTTTGTCAGTATTTCCGCATTCATTCTTTCTACATGACCAAACCACCGAAGCATTCCTTTCTTAATCCTGGTCACCGCAACATCTTGCAAACCACACTCTTCTTTTATCACAGTTTCTCACCCTGTCACTCAGATTCAGCCCTAACATACTCCTTAGCGACCGCATTTCTACTGCATTTTTTCTACTCTCGTGCTTCTTCTACCACACCCAACTTTCACTACCATACGTTAAAGTAGGGACTAATACAGCATTGTGAATTGCCATACGTGCCTTTTTTGACACATTCTGACTTTTCACAATAGAGTGTAGATGTAGAGCCCCATTTACTTTATTTCCTGCATTCACTCGTCGTTCAATATTCTTATCATATCTCCCATCCCTGCCGAATACACATCCCAAATATACGAACTCATCCAATTGCTCAATTAACTCTCCTTCTATTCTTATTTCACATACCGTTTTGCTTTCATCTCTTTCAAAAACCATCACTTTCGTCTTACTTGCGTTCACTTTCATTCCCCTTTCTTTTAATGACCTGTTCATTAATGTAACCACCATTTGCAACTCGGCCGCCGACGACGCAAGTATGACTTGATCATCGGCGTACAAAAGGCATTTGACGGTTAACTGACCCATTCTTAACCCGCATTCTTCAACTTTCAAATTTTCCCAACAACTGTCCATAAATAGGTTGAACAGCCACGGGGAAGCTACACAGCCCTGTCTGACACCTTTATGGATGCCAAACCAGTCCGAGTAGACCCCGTTGATCCTAACACAAGCACTAGTCTCTATAAAGAGACTTTAATGCCTGTATTAAACCAGCGCTCAACCTAAATGCGTTCAGCGTTTCCCACAACACATCCCTGTCCACTCTGTCATAAGCCTTTTCCAAGTCCATGAACGCACAAAAAACTTTTTGGTTTTTCGCCAAATAAAAATAACCCAAAAAAAAAATAAAAAGAAACCCCGAATAAAAAAAAAAAATATTCTCCGCGATCATGCGCATGGAAAAGACTTGATCTGTACACCCCATTCCCTTTCTAAATCCCGCTTGCACATCCCAAATTTTTTCATCAGTTTCTTTCATAACTATTTCAATTAGTACCTTAGCATACAGTTTTCCCACAATGCTAAGAAGGCTGATACCACGGTAGTTTTTACAGTCCTGCTGTGACCCTTTTCCCTTATATATTGGGACTATCACGGCTTTGCACCAGTCTCCCGGTACCCGCTTCAGTTCCCAACATAAATTAAACAAGGTGTACAGCAGGCCTGCCACCACGTCATCTCCAGCCCTTAGCATTTCGAGTGAAACTCTATCATATCTTTAAAAAATATATCTTTGAAATATATGTTTTCTTATTTGTCAAACACACAGATTTTCGTTCACGACGTTTTTCTTACTCCGGATTGTGTAGATAGGGCATAAAACGTGACGTGACGTACCGATGGCGCTGAGCGAGTGGTACAGCTCATAGGTGAAGGCGGTGAGTGGCACGTCGTCGCCCACCGGCACCACGGCCACGGTGGAGAACGTGTGCTGCGAGAACCGCGGCTCCAGCGTTGTCGGTCCGCGCCCGGCCGCACCAGGCTTCTGCCATGAACCTGTGACAATAAAATACCACCTTTTGTACCACCATTACCACCATTGGTACCACTACCACCTGATGATAAGTGAACGCTGTGGCCCATACATACCTGCAACTGTCCTCGATCTATAATCGAAACGCACTTGGGGTTTACTTCTGTTTAATTTTGGCAAAATTGAAATTTATTAAGAAATTGATTTGATCTAGAAAAAAATTAAAAATACAATTAAAAATTAATTTTGGGTCAATCGTATCAGTCGTAATATCATCATCAAACGTAAAATTTTTGCGGAACGCTAATTACCTATACTACAGGTACCAGATCGGTTTTAAACATACGAAACTAAATTTAAATGTACTAACCTAGGATTCTATGTCCAAGCAGATTTATAAGCCGAGTGACGACCACCGGAAAGCGCAGTTTAATGGCATTGAATAGTCCTTCAGGCAGCTTCGCCAGCTCCGAGTCTCGCACCGCCATCACTGTCGTGCTACGTCGAGTTTGAGTTACCATCTCCACCTTGTAGCCACAATAACAATCAGATGAATTAAAATATTTGCCAATTGTAGTAACTATATAAGAGCCTTGGGCTTGAGATCAAGTGGTCACATGTCAAAAATAATCATAGACCACGCGCAAACCGCGTCGAAACCCCACATTACTTGCAATTTGTGTTTTTCAGCGCTGATGAACGCGATAAAGGAAAGAAATCATAAGTAAAGTTGAACGTTCGATATAAAATATTTCGGAATCATGTGCGTTCTATCATCACGATGATGGACTCTAAGTACCCTTTACTTCTATGTCTAGGAGTTACACCCATAAAATATATAATATAATCTAGTCCATACAAAACGTCATACAAAATTCACGTGTCGTCGTACCGTTTTCTAACAGTCGACTATGGAAAATAGGAAAAATTCCTATGGTTTCCGATAGATGGCGGCACAACCCTATCGTAAATGGCAGACGTAAAATATCCAGATCGGCGATTCGATGTGACGTCTAATGGCGGCTTCTCACTGCGTGTATTATAACGTGCCGCGCCACGCCCTTCACGCGCAGTGTGAAGGGCTTGGCGCGGCGTGGCGCGGGCGGGCGTGGCGCGGCGCGTGCTCTCCGTTTAAAATCGGTAACTTCAAAGGCACGGCGCAGCGCTATGCGGGCTCATGCGTTGGTACACAAGCGCGCGGCGCGACGTGTGCTTACAAGATTGAACTCGTCCATTTCGTCTTAACTCGTCTGACGTTGAGGTACTCTTATGTCTATATAGATATGGAGTGGTCTAATGAGACGATTGCTGAATTTTTAATTTTAACGATGTCATCCACCAGCGCCTTTTATTCTTCTTTTTGAAAAATGAAAAATACTTTATTTGACAGTTAGCACCTTTACAAATAATTTAGCAGTGGTTCTCACACTAGGCATGCAAACCTGTATCGTGAGAGCCACATATAAACAAGCGGCTGAAGCAACAGCGATGCCTTCTTCTTCAGTGGCATTGCTCTATGGCTGAAGTTGGCGATTCGAGTCACACAAGATCAAGTGAGCTACGCTAAACAGACTGAGTCAGTGGCCCGGAGTTTGGGAAAACACGCGCCGCGTCGCGCTAGGTAAAACGGGCGGCGCGGGCTCACACGTGGCGCGTACAAATCAACACGGTCGGCGCGGCGCGTGATAACACACGCAGTGAGAAGCCGCCATAAGGTGCACGACAATCGTCAATAACTACGTAAAGAATCATGCCCACTTTCGATACATTGATTGACCTGTCACTTGATTCCTTTAACAGGTCGCGTCTACCTACAACTACTGTTGTATTAAAACAATTATTGTTTATATTAACATAATAACTTATCATCTTTTTATTTAGAGGCCAGGGAAAAATTCTATTAAGTAAATAAAATTTTAAAGTTATAACAGCTGTCAGATAAGGTCTGTATACTTATTTTTCTTTCCATACCATAATATAAAACCATTAAAAATCTATAGTTATAAAAAAAGAAATTGGTTATTTTGAACATTCATAAACCACATGACGAATGAACAAGTTTTTCGTTGTCTGAAACGGAACGTGGAAAACACGTTTTTAATATATTTTGTCATGGCTTCTGGGCCTTTGAGCCATTGTAAAACACGTTTCGTCTCCAAACGTCAATTTAGGATGATAAACAAAGTAACGTTACTTTTTTTTCCGGCTTTATTTGAAAATTCAATTATGCGATACGGAATAAGAAAAAAATAAGCAATTTTATAATATATTTTGCATCACTAGACGCATTAAAAATTTTCAGGTCAATAATGGACATGATTCTTTCCTACAACGAGAATGAACCATGTCTAGCAATAAATTTTTAAGGACTAATATAAAAGAAGAATTATTTAGTACTTACAATTCCCACCAGGTCTCCTTTGCCATACTCTCCCACAAGCTCTTTCTTGCCATTCGGATGCGTGATTACTGAACGCAAACGTCCGCTTAATACAATAAACGTGGATCCAGATTCTTCATCCTGTCTGTACACCGCACGCCCGGATTCTATGAACACCTAGTGAATTAAAGGAAAATGTGAATTTTTGATATTAATTAGTTCATCGTTTTGTTAACTGGTTTCAAAGTGTTGCAATGTTGACGTTTTAAAAATATCGTGTAGTCAATAGTAAGATTATACCATAGAATACTATAATACATACATAATAGAACGGCGAGTGGGCGGAGCCCGTGTAGCCACTAAAATGTCACTAACATGTCAATTAACACGTATAAATGTCAACACGAGATGTGTTTTGACGTTACAATCGTTTCCAAATTTCGCATGCAAATTATTTAGAAAATGCCAAATTGCACACTATTTACAAATAAATATGTATTAAAATTTAAACGATTTTTTTAATGATGATCTTGAACGTTAATCAAAAGTCTAAAATGTTTAAATTTACTGTCTGTCAACACAGCGAATCGGGTATGTAGTAGTGATAATACGACGTAATTGCTTGTTTGTGTGCTACCGGCGACGCCGACCCTCGTACAAAATAAGGTTGACAGCCATTCTATTGTGTATAATAGTATTCTATGGCTTATACTCAGTTGCCGGCTGTTTCGTATCTGTGGCCCAGGATGGGGTTTTTTGGTTTGAATTTTATGTACTACATTGTGTTGTGGACGAATAAATATTATTTGCATTCTTTTCTCTTTTTCTTTCCATCAAAATAGAATGTGTATTTTTTCACTTTGCCAAGCAATAGCGCCTCTAACTTTCCATCTATAACATACATTCAAACAGGTATTCAACTGCCTTTTTGATTAAGTGGTCGTAAACGTGGTTAAACCGTGGGTCATACGTCTGATCTCTCTTCGGTCGTATCCGATTACCGTCCCATAGTACTATGAAAATGTGGTAATAGAGAGTGCATTTGTGTTTACGCATACACTCGGGCACTACAATCCTGCCCTGCGCAGATAGCTAAGTCTGGTCTGGAGGACATTTACATTATGCATTCAAGAACGTCGAATTGCAAACAGGAATGAAAATTACGATGAACTAAAGATCATTGTAGTCTCATATACCTACGTTTTAACTGAATTTGATGAATATTGAAGTAGGGTTGTGTATATTTTTATTATCAGTGTGCAAAAATTGTTTATTTAGATTGTTTTGTTAATTTTATCCAATACAATAATTTTTTTTTATTTATTTTGCATATGTGCTAATGTAATTTCTATTTCATTCTAATGATATTTTTTAAAACATACATTTATTTTCAAAGATCATTATTAATACCTTTTTGTACAAATATATTTATTCATAATATATAATTTAAACACATCCAAAACGATTAGTTGATATTTTATACCAAAAAGATAGAACATAAATTAAGTATTCAAAATATAAACTGGTTATAAAACTATTAAAAAATTTTTATCTATTTCTAAAAACACCAGTCAAATCTTTGTTCAGTAAAATATTTTACCTACATTTAGTTTGTAATGGAACATCTGCATATTTTAGTCTATGACTGAAGATAGCGATCAATTATTGAGATTTTCTGTCAAGAAATTCTCAGTAGCTGCCCGGTGTCAGGAAATTGGCGGTGTCTCACCCCCGTGCCTCGGAAAGCACGTAAAGCCGTTGGTCCTGCGCCTGATCTCTCTCCGGTCGTGTCGGTTTACTGTCCCATCGGATAATGAGAGTGAGGGAATAGGGAGTGCACCTGTGCTTGCGCATACACTTGGACATTATAATCCTGTCCTGCGCCGTTGGCTAGTCTCCGATGAGGCAGGCCGCCGTGGCCAAAATTCGGTCTGGAAGACACTAATGTTTGTTTAGTATTACGATATTACTATCTATTTTTTAGTTACTTGACTACTGAATTGTTGTTTCAGTCCAAGTTCAAACTTGGATTTGAATTCTCTTATTATTAACGCCATTCCGCACTACATGAATGTCGAAGTCACACTAAATGATACTAAAGGGCAGTTCAGTTGAGCATAGTGAATGTTCTGAATGCAAAATCTAGTGCGTAATATATATATATATATATATTATACAATGTGTCCCAAAATTCAACGATAAGCAGACACCGGAGGATGGACCTGCCCCGGACTAATCGGGGAAAAAAAGAAAAAAAATATATCCCAATGATGTTTTAAGTTATATAAAAAAAATGAAATTCTTCAGAAATTGAGACCGTTTATGATATTTTTCACTACCATGACCACAATTTTTTATAGGCAACCTGAATAGCACTGCTATCTACCACAATTCTTAAAACATCCAGAATAACTCTTGTTTTATCACGAAAATTAATGAAACTTTTTTTATTCCCTAAATTTTTTGAAGACTTTTACTTTTAACCAAATTTAACTTACCGTGGTCTAAAAAAAAGTATGAACACTAGTATGGCAAGTTTTTTTAAAAATTGACGCAACTAACCAACATTCCAAAATGGTATAATACTCTAGAAAAACAAGTTATAAAAAAATATGGGTCTATTATTTCTTAACAGGGGCCGAATTCCTTAAATTGTAATTGTCAGTATAATCACTTTTACTACATGCCTAAAACGGGTTCTTGTTACAATTTCTAGGAATTTTAATGGGGCATGCATACCTTAGATGTTAGAGAGAGATAGATAGATAGAGATATTTACGTTAAAAAGAGACAACAACAGGGCAAGTAGAGAAGCTGTTATTATTCTCAGCAAGTCAGTTCAGTACGCTCTGCTCCTTTGTTTACTGTGCACCGTTCCCAATTCAACTTACGTGGCTCTCGTACATACTATTTGACTATACTATAGACTTTTGGCTTGGCTTTTTGGACTGGAATCTACCTGCAAACTTAACTGGCCTGGCATTATTTGGACTTTTCGGGATTCCTGTAGCTTCTTTTATGGCACGTACCGAAGTAGTCGAATCATTTTCTATCTCATTGAGAACTTCTTCATCACGATCCAATCTAGGTCTTCCAGCGCTTCTCCTATTGGATGGCATACGAACCTCCGAAAAAGCTTGATGCATATTAATAAACACTCGATAATCAGGATATCTTTGAGCATTTGGGTATCTTTTTCGATACAGTCTGCTAGCAGCGTTAGCATTACATCGGCATTCTCCATAGATTAAATGCATTTTAGCGTATTCATGTGGTGTGTACGGTGGCGGCATGTGAAACGCCAAACAGTCCAAAATGCGCCAGAACTCTAAATCACAAAACACACAATCGTAGTCCAAGATAATGCCAGGTCAGTTCAGTTTGCAAATCACTTCCAGTCCAAATAATGCCAGGCCAGTTAAGTTTGCAGGTCGATTCCAGTCCAAAAAGCCAAGCTAAAAGTCGATAGTATATACGAGAGCCACGTAAGATGAATTGGGAACGGTGCGCAGTAAACAAAGGAGTAGAGCGTACTGAACTGACTTGCTGAGAATAATAACAGCTTTTCTACCTGCCCTGTTGTCTTTTTTTAACGTAAATATCTCTATCTATCTATCTCTCTCTAACATGTAAGGTATGCATGCCCCATTAAAATTCTTAGAAATTGTAACAAGAACCCATTTTCGGCATGTAGTAAAAGTGATTATACTGACAATTACAATTTAAGGTATTAGGCCCCTGTTAAGAAATAATAGAACCATATTTTTTATAACTTGTTTTTCTAGATTATTTTAACATTTTGGAATGTTGGTTAGTTTCGTCAATTTTTAAAAAAACTTGCCATACTAGTGCTCATACTTTTTTTTAGACCACGATAAGTTAAATTTGGTTAAAAGTAAAAGTCTTCAAAAAATTTAGGGAATAAAATAAGTTTCATTAATTTTCGTGATAAAACAAGAGTTATTCTGGATTTTTTAAGAATTGCGGTAGATAGCAGTGCAATTCAGGTTGCCTATAAAAAAAAGAAACAAAAATATTAAAAAATTTGTGGTCATGGTAGTGAAAAATATCATAAACGGTCTCAATTTCTGAAGAATTTCATTTTTTTTATATAACTTAAAATATAATTGGGATATATTTTTTTTTCTTTTTTCCCCGATTAGTCCGGGGCAGGTCTATCCTCCGGTGTTGGCTTATCGTTGAATTTTGGGACATGTTGTATATATATATATATATATATATATATCATGACATTAATTTAACTGTATGAACTATAAATATTAACCGGTGCCAGTCACAATAGTATTTCTTTATTTCGTTTTAATGGACTTAAAATACTACAAAATACAGCAGACAAATAAACTGACCCAATCGAGTGCGAAATCGACCTGCCGCACGAATGGCGATAGGCGTTTCACCACGGTGTTGGCTATGTGCAGCACCACGGAGGGCCGATCGCGCATGATCGTGTACACCGCGCCCTTCGACAGCAGCCCGATACGTGAGAAATGCTTCGCGCGGATCGAGAAGAAACTTGGCTCCCCCGTCAGAACCGCCAAGCCACCTTCCACTTCGCCTGCCGACCGATGGAGGAAGCTCATTTTACTATATGAATTGTGTGACAAATGATCCGCTTAACTGTTATTTATTTGTTGTATTTATTGTATTAAAACTGTTATTTCACGCTGGCGTTCTGTGAGCGCGTAGTCCTTACCCAGTAAAGTCGACCCATTCGTGCTACACCCATAACATAGTTGCAGCATGGTGCTACCACAGACAATAGGACTGAATACCCTCAATGGGGCTCAATGTCGATTACACCGAGTATAAATATTGAATATTCTTGTTTCAGTTTTGACCTTAATGATACACAACTTCAGATCTAGCAATTTTTTCACTTACATTTATATTGACTAAAATTTAGACTAAAATCCCACCCAGTTTATAAGTGCTTATCAATACTATACACGCCCTAGATATTAAATCGCACTGTTTAGCGTAACAAAAGGTACCTCAAAGACACTTATATTTTAATCGGAAGGAAAACAATTTTCAATTAATTGGTACACAACCATACTTATAAGAAGGATAGGTAAATATAAAATAATAAAAATGAGACCTTTGTGTTTGTGCGTAATACTTCTCTGTAACATCTAACTTGCAGCTAAAAACATTAATTATTACATAAAAAAAATTAAAACAAAAGTAGTTTTAAAATCCCGAAGTGTGATAAAATGATGAGTGGTAAATGCTTACCTGGATACGCCGTAAACATATGCACCTCGCCTTCACCTTCGGCCACCTTCTGGGAGACGAGCAGTGCTCCAGACAGGAGGTACACTAAAGACACATCCTGTACGAAACAATTAATATTTCAATAAATATTCCAAAAATCAATATAGCAAGCATATGGATACTTAGGAATTGGGTATTTGACTAGACTATTGAAATCAAAACAAAAATTTCTATAGAAATTGTATGAGAATGTAGTGTAAGAACCTAATAACTAATAACGTCGTAATTGTTATTAGACATGTGTCAATCGTGAATGATTCATCCATTTAACTCGGGTCGCATCAAAGTATTAGTAGATGATTGCAATTACATTTTTTAACGTTCCGGATCAAACGATTAAAAGGACCTACGACTAAAAAGTTATATTGTAGTAATGTTCGACAACCGCCGTTATCGAGCAGGTCTCACAGATCACAGAGTATTGGAACTCGAAATGATCAATATGAATGATCATTCCGAATTACCCGGTTCGTAAGACGAATCAATACTTGAATGGTCGGGTCACTAGAAATGAATGAATGACACATGTCTAGTTGTTACCCATCCGTCCATCTTATTTGTATATATTATAATATTAAAAATCTAATTTAACTTAAAATGGAAAATTCACAATGTTTCGAGTAGGCACTACTAAAAGTACACATAGGTATCAATTTTTAATTATATGACGCAGTAAACCAATTAAAGGTGTCGTCAACTACCCAACTCAAATAAGAAATCTATGTTGTACAAGAACAAACCAATGTCACATGAACAACAATACTTACTTACAAGTATACGACTAATCGTATATTAATTTAGAAAATATACAAATATGTATCGCACACAGGCATTTGTGGCATGTAAAAACGACATGCATATCAATGTAGCGTAATTAAAAATGACGCAAACGATTTTAAACAAAATGGCGCAACTAAACAGTTTTCGGCCAGGACACGTTTGCTAACTTCAGTAGCGCTGACACAATCCACCATTTTGCTTATTTAATTTGTTTTTTTTTTTGAAGTAGAGTTTATAAGTTGTTTTGTGCAATATTAGTTTTAAGTAATACGATGACATGAATAAACATATACATGTTATTATAAATTCATGATTTGTAAGTTTTTAATATGAATACTTTACAAACATATATTTAAATTAGGTTAGGTTCCGCGGTTAAAACTAACTTCGTGTCCTAGAGGAAAATAGCTACTTACGATTTGACAGCGCTTACCGCTTACGTTCGCCATTTTGCTTACAAGCGCTTGCTAGCGCTTTTTTCTGCCAAACGCAGCCAATGTAGCGTAATTAAAAATGACGCAAACGATTTTAGTTATTATTCGTGATGTATTTCAATTCTTTAAATGTGAATGCGATGACTACTTAACGGATAATTTTTAATCAGAGGTTCAATTTTATCATAATTTAAATAAAATTGTGCAAAACAAAAAACTGAATGATTTTTGTACATAATGGTTAGCTAAGACTGCAGTTTACTAAATCGAAATAGTAGTTTGTGCTGACATTTTGTACCAGTAATGAATTCATTAATAGGTAGATTACATGAATTTGAAACACGTCGCAGTCACACTAAAAACTTAACACCACTCTTATTAACGCGCGAAATCAATAGCTACCTGAACAATCTCCGGCTCACCCTCGATACAATAATACAGCTTTTGAAAGAAATTAAGAATATATTAATAATCATAATAATATTGGTATTCAAAATGAGTTATAAATTGATTTTAATCTATTTCAAAAAAGATTTTTGACGTGAAAACTTCTTTCGAATCGTTGTGATTTGAAACCCGTAGAAAAAAGTCACACAAAAAGAGACAAACATATTATATACACCTATAGGATTTAGCCTGCCAGAAAATGAGATACAATACAGTGTAGACTGCGAACTCAAAAGGTTGTGGGTTCGAATCCACCATTCGATTACTGTCTTTTTGAAATATTTTATTTTATTTAACAAATTCTGCAAATAAATAAAGTTAGCCATATTGAATAAAATTATTTAAAAATACCAAGCCATTTATTCACGATATCTACGATTTCAAACCTCAGGCCATTTAGCGTCTACTTTGTACACCGCCTTGAGAGTCAATCAATTTTTGTTCCATAAAATGACTTTACCCTTTAGAATAAAGTAGATGGCGCTATTACATATAGCAATTTTAGTCCAAAGAAAATATTCTTTTGATTTATTACACCAAAATTAAGTTTAAAAATAAGGATTGTAATATTTTTTGCTATAAAATAAAAATTTTATCCTATACTTTTTGCCGCACTTGTGGTTTAAAATGAATATATTAAAGAAATCATTTGCCGTGAAATATTTTATTTTATATTTCATTTCATTTCAAGGTTTTCCTTCTACCGTGTGTGAACTGCACAGGGTTTTTTTTGCATACGTGTTTAATGGTATATATATTTTTTTTGCATATGTGTGTGTGTTTGTGTGTGTGTGTGTGTGTGTGTGATATTGTATGATGTTCCTTAGTCCACTCAAGAGTCAAAAACAAAATATTTTAATAAATAAAGTCACAGAAGACTTCAAGCAAATAAAAATTTTAACATAATTTTACACACTGATTCAACTACTGCTACGATTTAGCACTGACTTCAGAAGCAAACTATTATGTGGAAAATATTTTAATATTTTTACAGTCAAATCTGGCAACTTTACTAACGGAAATTGACTTTGCCATCAGACAAAATTACAACATTGTTTACGATATGGCAACTAAAAAATTTAAATAGTTTTTGTGATGTAATGAACCTCTTCTTCTTAGTTGAATGAGTGTAGAAACCTCATGTCCGTGTTAAGAAAAGTGAGATCTAGTACACGATTACGTAATAAATTCAATAAATTAAAAGAACAACGACGTAGTTTGCTGCAGGTACAAAGCTATAACGTGAAAGAACTTTATTATGCTGCTCTTTCGTATGGTAAGAGTAGAAAACCGGAGACTGACGAAACTATTTTATATTATTATATTAGTGTTCAGGGGCGATAGTGTATCTGCATGTTTTGTGTAGTGTATTCATACTTAATCAGAAATGGGTGTCCATGGGCCACAACATCCACTTACACTAAGTGAAATGTGTGCTCGCTAATCACCTAACTAGTATGAAAATGTTATAATCACCTTATGGCTCTCCTCTTTCATGATGTAGGTGCCAGCGGGGAGGTCTCTCACTTGTACGTTGCCACGGAGCAAATCATCGCTTTCTAAACCCAGCTCCTTCACAAAGGCCTCAGTCGCTATTTGTATTAGTGCCTGCCAGCCAAATAATTATACATAAGCACTTGCCGTAAATATCATAGTATGCGAACGGCTGGGATTCGATCTCGCGCCAGCACAAATGAAATTGCTAATTGCAGATATAAGTGGTTCATCGTGAGGAAACCTTGAATGAAGCCCGCCTATATACATTGGGACATCACGGCGGGCATTTCCTTGCCCTAAAACTCTCTCAGAAATGAGAGGAGGCCTGTAACCAGGAATGGCAGGTAAGGGCTGTAAGTTAACTGTAGTTAATTTAATTTGAAATCTTAAATATTTACTGAATTTCATTTCATCATAAAACGTAAAGTAACAGCCTATATGCGTCCTCTATGTTACCTTATAGCAACCATTTATGCCATAGTTACCACGCTTGATGGTAGAGTGGGCAAGCAGTGAGTTGTTATCACCATTTTAAAATAACATCATTATAAATATTAGACATAATATATCAGATGAAAAATCGACTAATGCTGTCGATTGTTACGCGGAATATTACCAAAACATGTTGCTATTCAAGGAAATCGCTGAAAAAAGGTAAAATATTTAGAAAATAAAAATGTTTATCTGAAAAAAGTCAATGAAGCACTAGAGGAAAGGGTAGCTTAAAAGAAGTTGAAAAAAAAAACAATAGAAATAATAGGATTAGAGAATCAGAAAGATAAAGATACAAATCAGTATGTGCGCTTAATCACTAAAAACTAAAGTTAAATCCTGATTATATTGAAAAGGCGCGGAGTTCATCGGTAGTTCATGAAAAACAAAATGAGAATCGCTCGCGACCTATTATCGTGACGTTCCGTGCGAAGACACACAGAAACAAATGGATTACGCGAAATGAACATCAATTGTGCAACAATACTACAAAATAATAACATGTTTATATAAATCAATGTTAAACTAAACAGATGAATCAAGAAATCAAGAAGATGCTGTTGGTGAACTTCTGTTGCATTTCCCCCTGTCGCCTTTTACGTCATGCAAAGGATAATATAAGGCAGTAGATTCTCTTATGCAGCTATAATTGTATTGTTCATAAATTAATTAATATTGAGCATATAGGTTTTTATAAAATAATTATTTTCCAATATTCTTGTTTACGACAATAAAAAATTAAGCACATTTTGTAATATTTTAAGAGCAGTAAAGCAAGTTAAGCAACCAATTATTATGAAGTACTGCTGGGAACAAACCGTCTTTTACCTTAAGTAAGTATTAAATTTGGATGTCTCCGGTCTGGTTACACAAAGTGTGATATATCTGAGATATTGCTTCTTGATCATTTATTACCTGCGACATAATTCTAGTATTTCTTCGTAATAAGATCATCAACAACTAAAAATTCACTACTTGAAGATGACCTCTTGTTATAGGAAAGACAATAATCACCCATGGCAATCAGGTTGACGATCGCAGGATTAGAGGTGAAGCACCTTTGACGCAGCTCGTCGCCGATCTGGGTATTTCAAGACTGGTGTAAACGAGTCGGTTATAGCGCCATCTATCGGAAGACGTAAGATTTATCTGGAGTTTCTCTCACTCACATTCACGGGACGAAGTGAGATTGATTCTCTTTCGACGCCACCTCGTGATTAGTGGGATCGGATTCTAAGACAAGTTTAATGTTGGATTAAGAATCTACCAACAAAGATCAATACCTAGTGATTTATTTTTAATTTAATCATTCACTAGCTGGCCCGGCAGACATTGTTCTGCCCTTCCACCTGACGAAGAGTTTCATTTTCACAATTTTCTATAGACCTATTACACGTGAAGCTAAATTCTCTTTATGACTCATAGAAACATCAGGAGCCATTATGACTTTAAACTTAAAAAATATACAAAACATAACTCTCTTTTACTCTTCCATAAGCGGATAGATAGTTGCCTATATGCTATACACGATCATACTGCCTACGTACCAAATTTCATAAAAATCCATCTAGTAGTTTTTGCGTGAAACGTGAACACACAATTTTTCCACAGATTTATTACATGTATAGATTACAGCCCTTCAAAAGCCCACAGCTGGGCATTGGCCTCCCCCAAGGAATGCCACAAAGCACGTGATTAATAAACATACATATTTAACTATATTCTGACCTGTTCATCGAGATTGTCCGTGTTGTGTTTCTTGAACGACGAGCCTTCTCTAGATTTGTAGGACGAGGTCGGTTGAACGTCAGGTTGTTGCTGTGAGTAAAATTTTATATGAAGTTTTTCCTCTTATCGTGTAATAGCTTAAATACGATTATTTGAATTTGCTGTCTAGTGTCGTAAATAGTTTTGCGGCATTTAAAACTACTTTTGCAGAAACAACAAACTTAGCAACTCCTCTTCCAAATAAGAAACTATATTTTTTGCTCTGAGAGACACGATTTTTTTCCTATCTTATCGCCTCATCATAATGGCACGTTTAGATTATCGGACGATCTACTCGCCAAATAACTCGCCGAATTATTCGTGGACGAGTTCGAAGCGTTTACATATACAACGTAGATCTTTTAAGCATGGATGACGTGCATTTCATTGCTACAACTTTACATATACTCAATATTTATAAGACTTACAAATATTTATTTAAAACCGGTTTCTAGAATCCCATATTACGGGTTCTCCTTGATAAAGTTCTATGAAAATATTGAAAACGTTACTCGAATTCATCACAGTAGGTAGGTGTTATTATTATTATTATGGGGTATCTCTCTATAGTATATATAGCGATACCCCATAATCTTTAAATATATATATATATATATATATATAGCGGTCCATCATGGAGTCCCAGTTACCTCAGATGACCCGAGAGGCTGACTGGGATTAACCCGTTTGCAGAAACGACTATAGTATAATTTCGGTCGACAGCCCACACCACATGTCGGTCACCTCGTGAGTCCGGTCCAGATATGTTGTTCGCTTATCTGTTTTGGCTTTCACGAGGTTCTCGTCATACGGGATGGTAATGTCGACCAAAAATATCCTTGACTGTGCCCGGTCCATCAGCACAGTATCAGGCTTATTCGCTTCGGCAAGTACTTAAATATGGCAATTTCTGCTCCACGAGACCGTATTTCGGAGCGAGCTCCTGGTGTAGAATTCTGGCTACTAGGTTGTGCCTGTGCAAGTACTCAGAGTTAGAAAGCGCCGAACAACCGGAGATGACATGCCTAAGTGACTCACCGGGAAGGTGACAAGCTCGACAGATGTCGAAGGTGACATTCCTTAGGATGTATCTCCGATAGTTGTTGGTCTTAATAACCTAATCCTATATTACACAGACAAAACCCTCGGTTTCCCCAAAGAGGTCACCAAAACGTGGCCAGTGGAAGGAGACAACTGTGTCTACGAAAGGTTCATCTAGAGCCTCATAGAACCACCCGTGGAGCTCCTTCTCCTTTCATACGGTCTCCCAGTCGGAAATGCTCTGTAGTGCCGGGTCTTGCCATTGCTCGTTGGCTAAGGATAGAGGGTTAAACCCTTTATCACAAGAAATGACATCCCTATAGAATGGATCATCCGATCTCGTCAGAAAGTAATTACGGAGACTGCACACACTTCACGATTATGCATGGTAAGCGCGCTTAAAAAGCCACGCCCACAATGTTTCCGCGGCAAGTACAGCCTCATAATCTGTGTGATGCATCCTATGGGACGTCATAGTAGTGCGGACCTTTCCATCCAGGGCGTTAAGTTCAATTTGAGTCCACCTAAGTATGCCAAAGGTACACATGAGTAAAGGCATGACCCAACCGTTATAAATATGCTTGTGTCTTATACGCACCGGACAAAAGGCTGTTAAGCACTTTGTTCAAGCGTGCATAAACCTTGTCGCAAACTGACTGTTTCATACCAGCCTCATCGATACCGATGTTCTGTGACATACCCCGGTATCGGTATGTTTCAGCCTCGAAAAAGGTCCGTAAGTTGATGGGCATAGATAAGTCTATGCTCTCAGAGTTAGGAAGGAGATTTTTAATATTGATATGGTCACTATAAGATATTGTTAGATTAGCTAATTACGTAATAACTTAAAACAGAAGGATCCTTAAGTAGGGACTGAATAAATTAACCGACTTGGTATTCTTGGATCACACAACTTTTTAAGGTAGAAGATCTGAGTTGCGCTTGCGAGACTTGGTTTTTTACAAGTTGTGTTTTGATGGCATTACATACATACATAAACATAAACACTCACGCCTGTCACCCAGAGGGGTAGGCAGAGACTACAGACTTCCATTTGGCACGATCCTGACACACCTCTCTCGCCTCCTTCACATCCATACATCTACGCATGCATGCTCGTCGGTTAAGGGTACTCCTAATTTGGCCCGTTTTCAATAAATCGCCAATTTGGTCGATAAATTTTCGCCTAGGACGTCCCTTTCCGACTCTGCCATTCACTTCTGCAACATAAATTTTCTTTGTCACTCTTTCCTCATCCATTCTTTCCACATGACCAAACCACCGAAGCATTCCTTTCCTAATCCTGGTCACAACATCATCTTGCAAACCACACTCTTCTCTTATCACACAATTCTTCACCCTGTCATTCAGATTCAGCCCTAACATACTCCTTAACGACCGCATTTCTACTGCATTTATTCTACTCTCGTGCTTCTTCTGCCACACCCAACTTTCACTACCATACGTTAAAGTAGGGACCAACACAGCATTGTGAATTGCCATACGTGCCTTTTTTGACACATTTTGACTCTTCACAATAGAGTGCAGGGCCCCATTTACTCTGTTTCCTGCGTTCACTCGTCCGTTCTATATCCTTATCATATCTCCCATCCCTGCTAAATACGCAACCCAAATATACAAACTCATCTACTTGCTCGATCAACTCCCCATCTATTCTTATTTCACATATCGTTTTACTTTCATCTCTTTCAAAAACCATAATTTTCGTCTTACTTGCGTTCATTTTCATACCCCTTTCTTTTAATGATCTGTTCATTAATGTAACCATCATTTGCAACTCAGCCGCCGACGACGCAAGAATAACTTGATCATCGGCGTACAAAAGGCATTTGACGGTTAACTCACCCATTCTTAATCTGCATTCTTCAACTTTCAAATTTTGCAAACAACTGTCCATAAATAGGTTGAACAGCCACGGGGAAGCCACACAGCCCTGTCTGACACCTTTATGGATGCCAAACCAGTCGGAGTAGACCCCGTTGATCCTAACACAAGCACTAGAGTCCCTATAAAGAGATTCCAATGCCTGTATCAAGCCAGCGCTCAACCCAAATGAGTTCAGTGTTTGCCATAGCACATTCCTATCCACTCTGTCATAGGCCTTCTCCAAGTCCATGAACGCACAAAAAAACTTTTGGTTTTTGGCCAAAAACTTCTCCGCGATCATGCGCATGGAGAGGACTTGATCTGTACATCCCATTACATGGCATTACATTTGCTGATTTGTACAAAATACTCATAAATTCATCATAATCTAACTTAAACTTCCTCGTGAAGATCGAATCAAGGTAACCAAATCAACGTCCCTAAAGTTGTTTCTAAGCTAAGCGTCAACATACAGACAGACAGACGTGAGGAGGAACTTCAACTTTTATTATGAATAGATGTGACAATTCACTATCAACCGAATAACAAACCATAGCTGGAATCGAGTTGTAAGGTGTTTCTACAAAGTAAATAATCAAAAACTTACACAAAGTCAAAGTCATTTTAATATTTATTTATATATTATAGTATTTAATTATTTGAACATAAATTTAAGACTTTTTAATTTTTTCTTCTAAATTTCAAAAACGTTAACATGCAAAGTTAAATGAGTTGCAACAATAAAATGTATCATTATTAGCAAATACATTGGCTGATTTTTTTTACCGTCTGGAAAAAAATTGCGTGTAACAGGTAAACAGAATAGAAGCCTATGGCACTGATGTTTTACAATTTTTTTACGTTAGTATATTATGAAATTTATTTATCAATAAATACTACTAATTGGGTGCACATTATTTTAATTCCGATAGTTTTTAATTGCTTTATTTATTTAATTCAAAAACTTTGTTGTTATTTTTTAGGACTATCGAAGTTTATTTCAAATAAGGATATTCATTGATAGATCAGTTTCATATGTTAATGTAAAATAAAAATAAATAGTAAAATATCAGTTCCGTAGGCTTGTAATCAGTTCACCTGTTACGTCCTATTTTTTTTCAGGCGATAAAAAAATCATCCAGTACATATAATATAGATATTCTGTAGGAATTTCCAAAGGGTTTTTACCTGGGGTGTGTTAGATGTGAGATCGGGCACCATGTCAGGTCTGGGTTTTCGGCCTTGAATGAGTATGGGAGATGAAGTCTGATGCCCACCCTCCTGTTACAGTTGCACGATGTTATGTTAGACACGTTTAATAAAATGATTGGTTAAAGTACTAAGGTGAAATAACGCAAACAAGATGAAAATTGAACTGCACGAAAGTAAGCCTTACCTCAACGACATAAGATTTGCAGATATATATAAGTACATTGAAGAAACCAGTTTTGAATTTTTAAGAAACAGACCTTGATATTGCTTTGTAGCAGACAGGATTGAGACAAAAAACATCTTAGTTATCATCATCATCATCTAATCACAAGTCCACTGCTGAACATAGGCCTCCCCAAAGGAATGTCACAAAGCACGGTCCGGAGCAACCTGTACCTACCGACTTTCAGCATATATAAAGTGGGGGGGCCACCCTACACCTCGCTAACCGGCACGAGGTTGCCACACGGAAGCCTTTATTTCTCGTCGGTTATCGGTTCTTTAAGCGTATTATAATTTGAAAAAAAAAAAAAAGAAAAACTATTTTTTTAAATTAAAATAAATAAAATTATTCATTAAAATATGCTGCGTCTAAAAAAGGTGATAGAATCATACTAATATAATTTATGTTTAGGTTTATTGTATACTTCTTTATTATAGTTTTGAGTAAAGTCTCCATAAAAAGAGAATCGTTACTTGGATCTTACTAAGCTCTCTTACTAAGTACTACTAGCAGCAGTCAAATCAACAATACTTGCCAAATGCTCGCCGGCCCTCTCGGTGTGATGTGGTGAATGCATGGTGGTGCCGCTGTCCACCAAAACCACCTTGCTGCTTTTGCCTGGTGACGACGAGAATGTGTTTGGTCGACGTTTCTCTCGACCCTAAACACAGTAAATAAAATTAGGAACAAAAACATTTTAAAAAAATATAACAATTCGTAAGTAAGAGCTGTCAATGTTAACCATTCAAAACAAGACAGAAGTAAAAATGCGATGGAGAAAGTCATACTGACAGTTTCTAGAACTGTCTGTATGTCGAGTTACCGTGTCTAGACCGCGCCTTGATGATCTCAACTTCATTACGCTCTTTATTACTAAAACCTATTTATTTATTTAACAGTTTATGTACACACATACTTAGTATATATATATATATATATATATATATATATATATATATATATATATATAAATCATATATGTATATATATGTATATACATTCCTATAACATAAAAAATATAATTCAATATATTTTACTTTGTTAAAATTCTAAATACTTAAATAGGTTTAATATATTATATAATAATAAAAATTTATGCGTTAGACAAGTGCGTCCCGCTAAATTTTTATAACGGAACCCCTTATAGAAAAGATTAACAATCTTAAATAACTTACCGGATTGACTAGTTCAGCGCTCAGTCCTAGATATTGATGCAGAGCTGTGAAAGTGACACGCTGTAGTCGCACCATGATAATCTGCGCAAGTGTAAAAATAAGTTATTATTCAAATTTAAAACCATCACGATTTTCTTGATAGATTAACCATGAAAAAGGGGTTATAATTCTTCCTTGCGGCAAGCCGAAACCGATATCCTAATCTCTTCTAACGCTAAAAACTTCTAACGCCTAGCAGAGCTAAGTCGCACAGGCACTACATTTTAATGTGTGGCATACAGTCTGTTCGCTAAGATAATGTCGGTATACCCGAAGGCGCACTTATTTTATTGCTTTTATTTTACTATTTTTTACTGTTTGTTAAATAAATGTTTTTCTATTCTAAGAATAAAATAGTATTCATTTTATTCTTATAGTTATTGTAATAAAATACGAATACAAATAATAAACACAAGTTAGGTAGCACAGAATCTTTCACCACGGCGCTTAGTTTTAAAATTCCAAATTCTCCTGCGGGTGTACGCCGCACGCGGCGACCTTTGATGTCGCGCCAGCGCCTTTGACAAGATGCGGCGCGTGGTAAGGCGGCGCGACACAAAGGCGACCGTATCTAAGCGAACAGACTACAATTGCAGTTGCAATGTTGATAATGAAATAAAGAGCAAGAAGTAGACAACTCAATGCATTACAATTTTCCAATAGAGATAACACAAATTTAATATAAGAGCGGGTCCCTTAACAAAGGTATTCATATACTTAAAAGGATACCCCAGCCTAGTTAATGTATTTAAATTAAAGTTACTGAACAAAAATTTTTTTAATGTTCCTGGCTAACTGCACCCCCTTGTACCCCTTTTCCCTCTACGGCCACATCCGACATGCCTTAAATGAATCCGTTATGGGGGGGGGGGGGTTGTTCTTCGCTAATACGTGGACAAACAGGTTGCATTTATTTCAGGCCATTGTCTCAGTTTAAGTGCGACTTAGAACACCATCATTACTATTTCACATGACTTTTTATTATTGTTTAATACAGTAGATCCATGATAGCTGTATTTGAAATGTAATTTGGTAGTCAAGGTACTCTTTTTCAAAAAGATCCGGACTACCAGGGGGTTGTGGCAGTGCTCTATAGTCCGACAAATTTGATAATCCGACACCGCCTTGCAAAACGTTTGTCGGATTACCGCGGATCTACTGTATATAGATATTGGGCAACAATGCACTTTCAGTTTTAATATTATTCAAAAATTAAACATCTATTTCATTCACAATTAACAGGTAAATGAACATTAAATTACAAAGTAATGATATTGTACCTGTATAACTCGAACAAATATGTCGGGATACTCCTTGAATACTTCCTGGAATGCCCGCATGGGCAGCTTTATCACTTGCGAGTCTTCTAAAGCTTTCGCGTTAACGGTTTTGTACGGTTGAGAATTACCCTACAAAGAATAATGGCATATTAGAATAAAGCAAAATGTAGTACCCGTTGTTGCATTGTTATATAGCATGCATTTTATTAGCCGACTTCAAAAAAACGAAGGTTTTCACTTCGACTGTATGTCTGTTGAACTCGAAATTCCTTTACACATAATTTTTTTATAGGATAGGGTGACAAACTAGCACACAGTCCACCTGATGGTAAGTGGTTGCTGCGGCCCTTTTTTTATTATGTGCGAGCAGCTATGCAGGTCTAGGGAAAGAGACCAGTATCACTGCGACCTAGAAGATCTGTTGTGATCGCTGCTATGGCTATAGTTCACGGCTAAGCCCTATGTCTTCAATGAATAGAACGAGTTGCTTAGCCATGAGCAATTTCACTTCTTCTGGGCGGAGTACATAGCTTCCCAGATGAGTGTTACGTTTGCGCGTTAAGGGTCCGCAATCAGTTAGGATGTGTAGAGGCGTTTCTACCGTTATGGAACAGAACCGACACATCCTTGAGTTGCTTAGTCCCAGGATGGACATGTGCTTTTTAAGACAACAGTGTCCAGTTAGGGCTCTTGCCAGAATGCGCAATTTTTGCTGCGGCCCATAGACATCTACATCTATCCTCGATTACAAATCAAAATGCAGATGCGTTGTGACCCGTGAGGACTATGATGGAATGCCTCGTTTCCAGTAAAAAGGGTCTTCGGTTCTCTACACTCACCATACGAAACACAGCAGCACACAGCAACCATTTACCACCAGGTGGACTGTGTGCTCGTTGCCACCCTTATACTATAAAAAATAATAATTGCCTCTATCGCTCTAATTGATGAGCTCAAAGCTAAGAAGTTGGTCAGCTAATAGGCCAGTTGAGGATACTGTAGGCTTTTCTTTCAATAATTTCATGTGCCTCAATAATTTGTCATTTTATTTTCAAGCAAATTTCAAACTATTTTACTGTAGAATGTGGGTATTCATTGTCGATTTATATTATTGCAAATCTTAAGCTACGATCTGGCGAATACATACAATCCGTACGTGAATTAGCATGCACGAGTGTAAACGTATTGTCTGCGTGTGTTTCCCTCACCGTTAGAACGTCGGTGAAGCTGAGTAAAGATGTGACGCTCTCTCCCGCGCGTACGACTTTGAGGGACAAACTGCTCCCATCCGAATTTGTTATGTACACATTTACGCGGCCCGTCTGTACAACGTACACGTTTTCGTCAGTATCGCCTGCAAATAATAAACAAATTAATGATTCATTCATCATCACATCCACCCATTACAGCCTATAAAAGTCTACAGCTGATCATAAGTCTGCCCTTAGAGTATATATAAGCAAGCTATTATGTATAATCTAACGGCCTTCCCATGCCTTACAGTTTTTTTGAGATTTTATAAAGAAAATGCTGCTACCATCTCCCGTTTCAGTTTGCTTTTGTCGCTCGTTTGACACCGAGGAGACGATAAGGGGTAATGGATATTCTTACACCGGTACACACAGTTTGAAGTAGTGGTAGTGTAAGAATATCCATTCTAATGAATGATTATTAAACATAAATCTGTACTGGGTGATTTTTTTACCGTCTGAAAAAAAAGGGTGTAACAGGTGAATGGAATAGCCTTTGGCACTAATATTTTACATTAACATAATATTATCCTATACCTTTAAACGAGCAATTCTTGTGTATATATATAATCGGAATCTCGGAAACGGCTCTAACGATTTTCATAAAATTTTGTGTGCAGGGAGTTTCGGGGGCAATAAATCGATCTAGCTAGAATTTATTTTTAGAAAATGTCTTTTTGTCCGTGTTTTAGGCAATGAAAAACTGCTACAATATCGTTAGAATAAGAAGGCAAATTTTGACAGTTTATTAATGATTACAAATAGCTTAATTGGTATATTGGGCGGTCACAAAATCGTAATACCATGGTTCGAACCCAGACCGAGCAACCGACTTTTTCAATTTTTTTTTCAAGTTCGTTTCTTTTTTGAGAAAATCTATTTTTTCGAGCCCCTTTTTTAGTATTTTATAAAAACACGAAAATTTAAAATAAACTAATTGCACTCATGATTTTTTATTTAAATAACCAGTTCAGTTTTTTCTATTATGTCGCTAAGATCAAAAAATATTATTCGTATTTCATCACTATGTAATTTGTATCTAAATATAATTTCCAAAACACTAGAATTAAAAAAAACCGTACGAAAAATACCGAGCAAAGCTCAGTCAACCGGGTACTGAAATTAATCTATCAATAAAATAAATACATTTATTAAATTCATTGAGCGTTCAGCCACCGTAGAGTATATTCGTCCTCAGATACCACGTTGAAAGGCGAAACACTTCTAATGTTGACAACGCTACGCCGTGGCTAATGGACATCTTTCGTAACAAAGACTTCTTAAATCTGAGACCATAAATTAAAAAAAAATTTGTAACAAAATAATTATAAAACTCACCAACTTTAAACAAAAACGTTCCAGCTGGCAAATTAATGATCTCAGTATGCTTGCACAGCATAAGAAAAACAGGCTTCTCGAAGTGGCCGAACACTCTGATGCTATGCAGCATATATAGAGCATCCGGTGGAACGCGGTCGTCGTTAGTCAAGTCTTCTTCTAAATATTCCGCCGGGGGCTCCAACACCTACAAAAATATCTTATAGCTTGATTAAAACTACTTTTACGGATTTTATCGCGTTTTATTTATATTAATTTTAATACCCGACGTTTCGGGTGCTTTCCAGCACCCAAGCAGGTGGTAGTGGGATAGTGGGATCCTATAATTAATAAAATTAAAACTAAACCCAAGCATACCACTGCAAGACTTCAAAATACAGTTAGTTCATTCTGCGTAGATCGGACCAAAGACAATAATTAAAAAGCTGAAGGTACTCTGGGTTGACTTTGACATCAGGATGTCAGTCACCTCAGTCCCCCGTGACCACGGGTGCTGGAAAGCACCCGAAACGTCGGGTATTAAAATTAATATAAATAACACGCGATAAAATCCGTAAAAGTAGTTTTAATCAATGTATAGTGTTCGCGTAAATATAAGAAATCATTATCTTATAGCTATTATATTCTGTCTATATAAAGCGTATACTTTATTTTAAAGTGAGTTTTTATATTTGAGGACAACAGTAAGTTTATGGTCTATACTGCCGGACACAGGACTCCTATTCTCTTGCATTTCCTAAATATTATTTCCTTCACTTTCATATCTATAATATTCTGGTAGCAATGCGTGGTTTCAGTTAAACTATCCTTGCATTTATTCTAAACGAAATTATAAAATAAAACCTAAATATGTCTTTATTTATTTGTACGTCCATGCATAAAATAGTACATGTGGCGGACTTAATGACATAGGGCATTCTCTCTCTCTCAATCATTAGGCTAAACAGAGATAGACATAATATAAGAGGTGGTGCAGCAATAATCAAAATAGAAAGGGATGGTAAAAAGTTTACATAGCATTTTATAGCCAAAATTTATTTATATAATATAACGAATAATTAACATTTTCTATCTACAGATTCTGAGAAGATTATGGAGAAATAATTTATCCATCTCGCCGCTCCATGTGAGTGCTGGCGGACTTCAAACATCTTCGAAATATTTTTGTTTCTCAGACCTGCGTTTTTCCTAGATGTCTTACTTTACGTTCCGAGTACCTACGTACTAAATCAGCACTTAAAATAATTGTATCTAACAGTTTCATTACTGCCGACGAAATCGAACCCGGGTTGTATTATATTTTATATGTAATCTGATATATAAAAATTAATGTTTGTTTATTCGTACTTTATGCGTTGCCATAAAGTTCATCAGATTGCTCTTAAACTTGTAAACTTATTGCTTGCATTTGCGCGAAGATTATAGGCACGGTACAATTAACTTAAAGTATCGTTCGCGCGTATCGTTACGTTAAGTTATGTATCATTCAACTTTAATTAATGTACTGACTGACTAACTCATCACGATATCTCTAAAACTATACACCCGATTGACTTTAAATTTAGTATAGTTACTAATTTCGCAATGTAGACGCTCACTAGGAACGAATTTTACGATAGTCCCAAAAATTTTACAGGCTCCGCAATAAAATACTATCTATCTATCGTGCGCCCAGCGAAGCGAGCGGGTATCGGCTAGCATAGGATAATGGTAGCAAACAGTCACGGTCAAAATGATGATAAGTTAATGCTGTGCCCATACACATCTATATTTATCATCGATAAAGAATCGAAATGCAGATGGATTTGATTCTTAATCGTATATAATAATTAAAAGTAGCATTAAGCTACTATTTTATGCTGGTAATTCTGTAAGAGCATGGACGTTTCCCGGTCGAGCCGATCTAGTCGTGCTGCAGCCATAAAATAGCTGAATCGTGGCTCTACCATATAATATTGTTACGAGCTTGAGGTTCGTGACAATAAAAATTGCCGATAAAATTACCTAAATTAACACTTTAATTTACTTTACACAAATTAAAACTTAAAACACTAATAATTAAACACACTAATTCACTTTATTCCGCTCCGAAGCTTCGCTTATCTCGCCAAATCCAATACTTCCTCGATCGCATCTTGCAGCGCCTATTTATATAAATTAGCAAAGAAATATCCAGAATGTTCAAGTAAACACGCGCAAGGTACCGAGAGTTCGAGGTTTAAACTTCAAGAAGTTTAGTTCTTCGGTTCGAGACTAGATGGCGCTAGTGCCGTCGAATGGAGCGCGTAACACTGCCCCCTCCTAAGACATGCTCGTCCCGAGCATTATCGGCCCCATAATAACGCTTTAGGCGATCCACATGGACGATCTTAGGAGTCCCTCTTGCGCCTTTCTGTAACGGCTCCGCAATGGCAAGGGCTGTCCTATCCCGTGGTGCACCAACATTGTACAATTTCGGTGCTCCTCTACTACGTGTCTGAGGTCCCCGCACGGCCGCACAACTTGTACATGTACGACACCAATCCTCGACATCGTCACGATAATGGACCCAGAAAAACTGTTCTCGGACCTTCAGTAGAGTTCGTTTAACTCCCAGATGGACTCTCGAACGATCATTATGGCACAGCTGTAGAACATTCGAAAGAACGAAAGAGCCAACTGTCAAAGCTGAAGACTGAGTGTGGCAACATCGTTTCCGGGACACCTGAGATTTTGAGTGAGATTGAGAGGTTCTATGGGCAGCTATACACATCATCGTTGGAGCCACACGTAAGTGTGAGTAACGATCCAAGAGCAAGTCTTATCCGACACTATTCCGATGATATCCCGGACGTCAGTCTGAGCGAGATTAGAATGGCTCTCCACCACCTTAAAAACGGTAAGGCCCCGGGCGAGGATGGAAATACAGCGGAGCTTCTGAAAGCGGGTGGAAAACCGGTACTTGAAGTCCTTCGGAAGCTCTTCAATTCCGTCCTCCATGGTGGCACTACTCCGGAGGCGTGGAGCAGAAGCGCGGTGGTTTTGTTCTTTAAGAAAGGCGACAACGCTCTCTTGAAGAACTACAGACCGATTTCCCTTCTGAGCCGCGTCTACATGCTATTTTCGAGAGTCATTACGAATCGTCTCGCACGCAGACTCGACGACTTCCAGCCTCCCGAACAAGCCGGTTTCCGAAAAGGCTTCAGTACCATAGACCACATACATACCCTGCGGCAGATTGTACAGAAGACCGAAGAGTACAATCTGCCACTTTGCCTGGCATATGTGGACTATGAGAAAGCCTTTGATTCCGTCGAAATTTGGGCGGTGCTACAGTCCCTTCAGCGGTGCCAAGTTGACTGTCGGTACATCGAAGTGCTGAAGTGTTTGTACAGTAGGGCTACGATGGCTATCCGAGTACAGAACCAGAGTTCGAAACCTGTCCAACTGCAGAGAGGTGTAAGACAGGGTGATGTTATATCCCCGAAACTCTTCACCGCTGCGTTGGAAGACGTTTTCAAGCTACTGGACTGGAAAGGATACGGTATTAACATCAATGGCGAGTACATCACTCACCTTCGATTTGCCGACGATATAGTCATTATGGCAGAATCGCTGGAGGACTTAAGCATTATGCTCAATGACCTCAATAGTGCCTCCCACCGGATAGGTCTTAAGATGAACATGGACAAAACAAAGATCATGTTTAATGTCCATGTCACACCTATGCCGGTAGTTGTTGGGAGCACTATGCTCGAAGTTGTTGACGAGTACGTTTACCTGGGACAAATAGTCCGACTAGGTAAGTCCAACTTCGACCGAGAGGTCAATCGACGGATTCAACTCGGCTGGGCAGCGTTCGGGAAATTACGACATATCTTTTCGTCAGGTATACCTCAATCTCTAAAAACTAGATTGTACAACCAGTGCGTGTTGCCAGTGATGACTTACGGATCTGAGACGTGGTCCTTCACTGCTGGCCGTATGAGGACGCTTAAGGTCGCTCAGCGAGCTATGGAGAGGGCTATGCTTGGAGTTTCTCTGCGTGATAGACTCAGAAATGAGGATATCCGCAGTAAAACCAGAGTGATCGACATAGCCCAACGGATTAGTAAGCTGAAGTGGCAATGGGCCGGCCATATAGCTCGAAGAACCGATAACCGATGGGGAAGAAAGGTTCTCGAGTGGCAGCCTCGTACCGGTAGGCGTAGTGTAGGGCGACCCCCCACTAGATGGAGTGACGACCTGGTAAGACATGCAGGAAGTCGATGGATGCAGGTGGCTCAGGATCGTGCTTTGTGGCATTACTTGGGGGAGGCCTATGTTCAGCAGTGGACTTGTGAAGGGCTGTAATGATGATGATGATGATGTAGAACATTCGGCACTTTAGCTTTAGGGACAGGGACCATTTGTAAACAACAGCTGTCTCCTCGACTATTGTCCCATTTACGGCACAGGACTCCATCCTGAAGCAGCAAGCTGTCCCATTGGGCCCAATAGCTTTTCGTGGTTGAACTCATCACTGAGACGTCCCTCCACTTAGGCTTGGTAGCACGGGCCTTCGTCCATCCAAGAATCGGCTTGATGTCCGGATCTTCCTGCTGTGCATGTCGTAGGCTATCCTTCCACCCGTTGCTGAGGTGGTCTGTCCTGAGCATCCTCACGGATACCACTTCCTTACTCTCTTGCCTACTACAATGGTTGCAATCTTCAGGACAAGGTCTTCTTGACAATTCATCTGCGTTGCCGTGAGATTTCCCGCTGCAGTGTCTGATAGTAAAGTCGTATTCCTGCTGCTGCTGGGCGGTGCTGTTAGCCGCACTTCCTTTCTGAGACCGTTCACCTTCCCTTCCTAGGGTGTGCTTAGGGCAGCTGGACCGAAGATGGCCCCTTTCCCCACAGCCATAGCACCTAGGGCTGTATCCTTTATTGTGGTCGCGAACCGTAACTGCTGCAACCTCCCTAGCGCGAGGTGAACGACGATCCTGTCGCCGCCAGGCAGTGTCGTTAGCTGCACTACCCTCCTGATATCGTTCACTTTCCCTTTCTGCGGTTCGCTTAGGGCAGCTGGATCGAAGATGGCCCCTTTCTCCACAGTCATAGCACCTAGGGCTGTATCCTTTGTTGCGGTCGCGAACTGTAGCTGTTGCAACCTCACTGACGCGATGGGAACGATGATCCTGCCGCACGGCTTCCACCTCCAGTGCATGGGCCAAGGCGTCCTTAAGCGTCTCGTGGTGCCTGAGCCTCACAGCAGCTCTGACTTCCAGGTCGCGGATGCCGTCGATGAATGTCTGCACCAGGTTCCCTTCAATGAGCGCAGGTACAGACCGGTATGCTTTTCGCACCAGCTTCTCCACCTCTAGAGCCCACTGCTGCAGGTTTTCGTTGATACGCTGCACGCGATCTCTAAGCTGCGCGCGTAAGACGTGTTCCAGGTGAGCGTCACCATATCTCGCCTCCAATGCCCAAGGAGCTGCTCGTAGGTCACTTTCTTACCGAGAGCTTCCAACACGGTTAAGGCTTGGTCGCGCAGGTCTAAGGTGAGTGCAGTCATGGCCTGGCTTTTATTCCAGCCGTTTGCCTCCATGACGGCCTCGAACTGGATTTTATAGGCCGACCAGGAAGAAGTCCCGTCGAACGGTGGCACTTTGAATCCACGTAGCGAAGATGCTGTAGCTACTACGGGAGCTGTAGTTCCATCCCCAAGTTTGAGGTCGTTCAGCGTTTTCTTCACGTCAGCCATCACGTTGTCAACCCGATTGTTCACATGGTTGATTCGGGTTTCATGTTCTTCGATTCGGGTTTCAGTTTCCAACAGGCCGATGTCATGTTGAGCAACCCTATCCTTCACCTCCCTTATCTCTTTCGCAAAGGTAGCGTGAAGGTCCTTCATGAGGAGCATCTGTTCCTCCTGTCGGCGGGCCTGTTCCTCTTGTCCGCTCTGCAGCTGCTCTTTCAACTGACGGGCCTGCTCCTCCTGTCGGCGAGCCTGCTCCTGCAGCATCACCATCAGAGCACCTAAGTCAGGTGCTGCAGATGTAGGAGCTACCGACGGGCCTGCAGCCGGTGGCTGGCCCTCCGACGTCTGCGGCGTTGCACCACCAAATCTTCGTTGGTCCGTCTCCTGCTGGCGTTGACTTCGGGTACGGACACCCTCCGTTTCCTCCTTAGGTAAAATCGGCATGATTTTATCCCACTTCTGACACCAATTGTTACGAGCTTGAGGTTCGTGACAATAAAAATTGCCGATAAAATTACCTAAATTAACACTTTAATTTACTTTACACAAATTAAAACTTAAAACACTAATTCACTTTATTCCGCTCCGAAGCTTCGCTTGTCTCGCCAAATCCAATACTTCCTCGATCGCATCTTGCAGCGCCTATTTATATAAATTAGCAAAGAAATATCCAGAATGTTCAAGTAAACACGCGCAAGGTACCGAGAGTTCGAGTTTTAAACTTCAAGAAGTTTAGTTCTTCGGTTCGAGACTAGATGGCGCTAGTGCCGTCGAATTGAGCGCGTAACAATATCTTTAAATAGTTACATAAATTCAATAAAAAAAACATGACCCGTAATCATTGGTGCGGAAACGTTATAAATTAAAATTAAACGCAACAAAAACCGTAAAATGGATTCGGATTTAAATTTGACGTACGGAATTAGAAACTTAGTCTAAATATCAATACAAATTATTTTTGTGTACCTATTTCAACGGGTATATTGCCATTCTCGAGTGGCAGCCTCGTACCGGTAGACGAAATATCACGTCACCCAACTAGATGGAGCGACGACCTGGTAAGACATGCAGGAAGTCTATGGATGCAGCTGACTCGGGACCATCCTTTGTGGCATTCCTTGGGGGAGGGCCCATGTTTAGCAGTGGACTTGTAAAGGTCTGTATAGAAGATGATGACCTATTTAATTCGAAAACAACAAATAAATAACAATTACATTGATAGAACACATGCCTTAAGTTGTTCAGGAGCCGACTCCTTCTTCAGCTGAAGAAGTTTCCTGGCGAAACGCATTACAGCGCGTCGCTTTCGGCCCTGACCGGAGTTGGAGATAGATTTCACCTTCCGCAGCATCCGCCGTCCGTAGAATAGCATTTTGTCTCGCTTGCGGAACCTCTTTGCAGGTTCTCCTCCAGCATCCGTAGCAGAAGTGCCGCCTGCGAGCACTAAACATAATAATAATTATTGAAAATAAGATGCTTTCTTTAAAGCAATTTACCTTATATAAACAAGCTCAAGGTCAGGGCTATGCTTGGAGTTTCTTTGCATGATAGTAGTAGTAGAGTAATGAGGATTAGTACCTAAGTTGAAGTGGCAATGGGACGATCGTATAACTCGAAAAACCGACTACTGATGGGGAAGAAAGGATCTGGAGTGGTAGACGCGTACCAGTATGCGAAGTGTATGTCGCCCTTAGATGGATTAACTACCTGGTAAGAGATGCAGGAAGTCGATGTATGTAGGTGTCTGTGGACCGTTGCTTTGTGGCATTTCTTGGAGGAGGTATATTCAGCAGTGGACTTGTGAAGGGCTGTATTGAATGAATGAATGAAACAAGTGGCGAAGATCTATCTTTGAAGAATAATAATAATGCTTTGCTTATCAGCTTATCACGTATAAAGTGTATTGACCGTCGGTACGCCTCCAACTTTCACCGCTTAATATACGAAGCGTGGCGGCAGCATGGATGCTAATAATGGGTAGAGCGTGGTGAGAACTTGATTCTTTCCTAGTTAAACCGGTGGAGATGTAAGAACTTATTTACACCATATTATCCCGCGGGCGAAGAGGCGACAAAGGGAAACAAGGCAGGGGATGGCAACAACGTTTTTCTAATATTCTATATACTGGTGACTTTTTTACCGTCTGGAAAAAATAGGGCACGTGACCGGAGTAAAGTCTATGAAACTGATATTTTACAAAAAAAATTGAATTGAATGTTTGAAAAAAAATCTTGAACAATTACTCTGCCCTTTGCCCTTGTGCCTGTAACCCTGCGAAGTGTCAAGGTCAAAGATGCCTACTAAATTTATTGTTTTATTGCCTTTCGTAAAATATATGATTTGAATTTCGATAGATTTTAATTAATTAATTTATTTAATTCAAAACGATTGTTTTTATATTTTGTAAAATATCAGTGCCTAGGCTTCTACTCTATTCACATGTTACGCCCTATTTTTTTTTCAGACGATAAAAAAGGTCATCCAGTATAATACCATGAGTCAATCTACGAAAGAGAAAGAAGCATTAGATGTTTAGCATCGGAATTTTGATAGACTGGGTAATGATAGACCGGTCAATTTAACTAAAGAGTTTAATCGACGGTCAGACGTTCCTCTTATCAATTAATTTGTTATAAACAATATACTTAGTCGGGTCAGAAGCTGTGTCAAAACCTTATTATTAAATTTTTTTGAAAACTAGGTAGATGAACTTCACCAATTTTAAAACGTATAATTAACATTATAAACATTTGCGCTTGCCGAAAATAAAAAAGACATTAATTTTCATTCATTTTCAAATATGGAGTGGTCGAAAAAAGAAGATAGAGTAGCGGTTATCGCGTTGCATCGCTGTGGTTACGCGCCAAAACAGATTTTCAATATTCTACAAAAATTTAAAATAATCCTACGATTTATTTATCGCACTATCGAACGATTCATTGAAGATTCAAGCTTCGAAGATCGTAAGAGGACCGGTCGACCTCGTACAGTTAAGACACCCGCGATTATCAAAGCAGTGAAGGCGCGAATCCAACGAAATCCTGTTCGTAATCAAAAAATCTTAGCTCTTCAGATGGGCTTAAGCAGAACCACGGTCAAAAGAGTGATCAATAAAGACCTAGGAATACGAGCTTATCGTAAGAATACCGGACATTTTTTGAACGAGCGTTTGAAAACAATTAGGCTGGATAGATCCCGCGTTTTGTTACGACGGTACGCTGGAAAAGCGAAAGCGAAATTTTGTTTACGGATGAAAAAATTTTTAACATCGAAGAAAGTTATAATAAACAAAATGATAAGGTGTATGCCCACAGCAGTGAAGAAGCCAGCACGCGTATTCCGAGGGTTCAACGAGCACATTATCCTTCGTCACTCATGGTTTGGCTTGGAGTCTCGTATTCAGACTTAACTGAGGTGTTTATCTGTGAATAAGGTGTAAAAACCAGAGCCGAGGTGTACCAAAATACCGTTCTAACAAACATTGTGGAACTTCTTCCTCAAACAATGTTCATAATCCAACAGGACTCTGCACCAACTTATAGGGCACGAAGCACGCAAAACTGGTTGACCGCCCATGGAATTGACTTTATCAGACATGAAGACTGGCCCTCTTCTAGTTCAGATTTAATCCCACTGGATTATAAGATATGGCATCGGAATTTGGAATCTCTCTGAGCATCTTTGGCTAAAGCAGCGGCAGAAATAGATATGAGTGTGTTGCGTGCTGCGACTGATAATTGGCCGCGTCGATTAAGGGCATTTATTCAAAATGAGGGAGAGCATTTTGAATAATGTAAATAAAATTGTATTCTAAATTAAATTATTTATTTAAAAACTTACATGTAACACCTTAAGCTAAAGGGTACATAGGGAGGACTTAATGCCATGTGACATTCTCTGCCAGTCAACCCTGGGTGCCAAGTTCAATTGTAGGCAGGTGCGACCATTATACATAAATAAGTGAACATACATACACATATATTAAAATATACGATGGGTACGATCCAATTTTAATTTATAAAATTAAGGCATAATAATTTTATAATTTAAAATGGTCGCAACTTGGCTACCTTCGAATCTTATTGTTAAATATTGGTTCATTTTATTTATCGAGACTAAGAACATCAAAAAATACCTACTACCACGATTTAGGAAAATATGCTAATTTTTTTTTACATAAATTTTTACAAAGTATATCTGTCGACAACAATACAGCAACCGGATATAATTACAGTCTGAGACTTTTTTTATTATTGACGTTTCCATCCCCTGTGTCATTTCCACCTGACAACTCTTACGACACCCACGAGATGATATAGAATAGTGGACCCCTAGCGCTGTTACTACACGGCAAGTCACTCATTAATATCATGTGTATTTTCAGCTCGTTTGTCACTCTATTGTTATAAAAAATATAGAAGATTAAGAGATCATATATAAATATTATTACCACGGTTAATCGCATATCAAACAACAAGCTATAGTACGTGCCCACGTGCACGATCAATGCACGATATAATAAATTAGGTATGTAGTTAATAAGTCATCTCACCTTTTAAGCGCCATCGTTTATAGTAATAGAAGAACACGACTAGAAGCGTCACCAGAAAACATCCGCAGAATGACCAAAGTAACTGTAAACAAGTAACAAACAAAGCTAAATTAATCTATCTCAAAAGCAGATGTGACTATTTAGTCAATTTCAATTTTAATAAAGATGTATCTTCGTATTGCGCAATTGATAAATCTACAAAAATATTAAAATATTTATCGGTCAAGTTTTGATGTAGCTATGATTTCATTACAAAGATTTTATTAGCGCACGTACAAAGTCTACTCAATACACACCTTTTTTATGTATACCTACATATCATTGCATACACACAGCAAATTGTCATCGCTGTTTTAGGCGTAAATTATTAAGTGTTATGTTAGCGCTCTATTGTTGATTTAACACAAACTTTCAAGATGACCATCAGCGTGTTTAAATACTATGACATTTTTGGCAGTTTGGTAGCACAGTATCTTAAAGTAGCAGCACCGCGAGCCGCGAGATCAAATCCCACACAAAACAACTATATAGGTGCTTGTCTCTTGTCTAGGGTTGCCGCCCGTACTATAATATATAGTACGTACTATATTTCAGTCAATTGTACCTACTATATATTGTAGAAAAATACTATATTTTTATCCCTAATTCAACTGTCGCGTTTTTTATATTAACTGTGATTGGAAAAAAGTCTGCAAATCCTGTCCTGGAAGTCTGCAGTCTGTAAACACGTACAGGATCGCCCCCGTCACTACACCAGATTTGATAGACCACAAATCCTCGCTAAAGAACACCGATTCCTTCCAAGGATGATTCGCGAGGCTATTAAAATCAAAAAAACATCCTAATTTCAATAATAGAGAAGATGGCTGGGTGCTACCATCTGCTCGGGGTCCTATAAAAAATAAAATTAAATCCCAACTCAAGCATACAACTGCAAGACTTCAAGATACCATAAGTTCATACTGTGTAGATCGGAACAAAAGTTTAAATTTAATCTATGGTAACCGCGGTTAACTATGACATCTGGACGTTGAACATCTCAGTTCCCCCCCCCCGTGACCATGGGTGCTGTAAAGTTCTCGAAACGTCGGGTATTTAAAAAGTTAAATATACGCGATAAAATCCGTAAAAACTAGTATTATTTCAATGTGTAGTGTTCGCGTAAATATAAGAAATCAACAGTAATTTTTATTTTATTTCTGTCGTATTTGTAATTTATAAACAGGTAAGTATATTTGCTTGTAAATTTTATCGAGAATTCAATATTGTTACAGAGCTATTTTCTTGTCCTTCAAGTTCAGTGTGGAAATTATAACCAATTGTTAAAATAACCTACAAACCTGTTTTTGTCCATTATCATATCGTATCATACATTTAAGTTAAATTGTAAACAATTTTATCATACTAACATAAACAGTATAATCTTTTACGTTATAACATACGTAGAATAATATATCTATTTTTAATTAATATAAAAATGAAAATCTCAAATTAACCAAAAATGAGTTAGTCCTCGTTATCGGTAAAGGTGCTGACTAGTCGAGTTATGGATTTGGCCGAAGTTGTATGATTTTATGTCTCGGAATTCATACATTCAAAAACATATATTCAGATAATTTTTGGTGACCAATTTATATTTAATGGGTTAGTAGTCTATAGGGTTAACAAGCCAACTTTTTTTATAAAATTGACTTACAGTCCACCTGATGGTAAGTGGTTCCTTGAGCCTATGGATACCTGCAGGCAACTTTGAACAAAAAGCTATAGAGGCGTTGTCACCTCTGATAACTAAGATGGAATGCCTCCCAGCCTGAAACTACTCCCTATTTCCTACAGAATGGAGCACAGCAGGGCAGGCACTGCAAATTTTTAAGAGGTACATACCTAGACCAACTCCTAGGTTAAAAAAGAGTCATACCACCTAATACACTATTATACTTCAAAACTATAAGACATGTTACTGTTTTAAAAACACAAAAAATTGCATGTTGTTTAAATTGATATAACTTTTTTAAGTCTACATATTGGTGATTTTTTTACCGTCTGGAATAAAATAGGATGTAACACGTGAACGGAATAGAAGCTTATGGCACTGATGTTTTATAATTTTTTTATTTTACTTTAACATATTGTGAAATTGATCTGACTACTCGTAAATACCACTAATTTGAAATAAACTGTCAGTAATAAGAAAATAAAAACAAACGTTTTGAACTAAATAAATAAATCAATTAAAAACTATCGAATTTAAAATAATACACACCCAATTAGTAGATACTACTGATAATCAGTAGTATCTACTAATTGGGTGTGTATTATACCGTAGAATCCCTAGTCTTCAGGAGTGATAAAGGTTATCACTCCTGAAGACTAGGGATTCTACGGTAGTGGTTATATCAGAACAGAATACGGAAGCAGAATTTTCAATCGGAACCAGAACCGAAATCGGAATCGAAGGTGCAAAATTAATCGGAAGTTCCGAATTCTTGGAATCGGAACCGAACCTCCGTAACATCTCTACAGAAGACTAAGGTGGAAAGCCTCGTTTCCAGTACAAAGGGCTATAAATACCTACACTAACCATACGGAACACAGCACCATAAAAATACTATTTCACGCTGGATGACGAATGAGCATTCACCTCAGATTTATACGGGACAACCGCTGAACTAGCCTATTTAAAAAAGAATTATTTATAAACCGCCGCAGCCATTATCGAGCAATCGGTGAACATACATTAAAAAAAAATAGGTTGACCCTGCAGGCGATGTTCAAATGCAGGGCGCCCCAAATTTCAACAAATTATAATATGTAATGTTAAAAAAACGTTTTTTTTTCGACGTCATTTTTGAGGTTAAGAGCTGATTATTTTTTTGAAATCGATCGATAAAGCCGTTTAAAAGTTATTCCAAAACAGATTTATTTTTGAGATTTCTCAAAATCTTCTACTCCGAATCAGTTCATATTATCACCAAATCTATTCCACATTCAGATCTTTAGAATGCCAAACCGCATCTCAATCGATCAAGACATATAGAAGTTATGAAAGGTTTACATACTTACACACACACACATACATACATACATCTGTACGGACGTCCACGTGAAATTAGTCAGAATAGCTTCCAGAGATCTCAAAACGTTGAGATCTGATGACAACTCGATTTTAGAAAATCGGAGTGAAGCCAATAACTTCCCTATTATTGAAAATTTTCAATTTTCTTAACGGGAAGTTGAAAAACATACACGTCCAATGTAGAACATTCTTGTCTTTTGAACTCGGTTATAATAAACATGATTTGACGTCATCTAATAAATTGATAACCGGACATTTGAAATCGTAAAATTAACTTAATTACGTAACTTCCACTCGATCATTATAGCTCACAATCGGTGCAAGAACATTATATTAATAAAACTATATATGCAGATTTGACGTCCCAATGTCATAGTTACCCCGGCTACCTTCAGTTTTTAAATATTAATATTAATCTTAGTCCTCCCGTGACCATGGGTGCTGTAAAGCACCCGAAATGTCGGAAATTAAAAATAAGTTAAAATAAGTTTATTAAACGCGATAAAATCTGCGCAGGACAGGACAAGATTACAATGCATGCACAGAAATCATAATAATAAGACAATATTATTACGATTTCTATGAATGCACGAGTGTTTGCGGACGCACAGGTGCGCTGCCTAAATTAGACAGACTATTATAATCCCTCACTCTCATAGTCCGAATTCGATGCATAGATATACTTTAAAGGGCAGTCCGATGCGACGGCAATGTACGTATTTTATGTGTTGTATTGTTGTGTTGTTGTATTTTATGTTTAAGATAAATAATCACTATTAAACTTATATAGAAAAAATTGAAAAACGGCAGTATTCTTTTTTCTAATTTACGGCATACTCAATATTAACTGTTAACCCCTCTTGCTGCCGAAACTTCCTACACTCATCTAAGCATATTTTTTTAAAATCTTCAATAAAACTATGTCGTATAGATTACTGCTTGGCTGTGAACCGATTTTGATGATTCTCTTTTATCTGAAAGCTGGTGCTTCTCGTGTGGTTCCCATATAAATTTAATCAAGAATTGACCATCAGTTTATAACGCATATTTAATTGACTTCGAATACATTGATGTTCTCATTTTGATTATATTGAAGTCGGTTGTACAAAATTTTTAATTATATCACTTGTTTGTTTTACTTGTCTTCCTAGTTTTCAAAAACATGCTCTATTATGTTTAGGTCTGGTAAGCAGGTTGGCCACTCCAAAAGTTCATTTCCTAAGATATTCCGAAGTGAATAAAAAAAAGATTATTTATCTATCATTAGCGTACAAATAACTCCATGACCTTAGTATGTATCTTTTTTTTTTAATTTATTGTAATTTATCTTATCACCAAATGTTTAAAAATAAGGATTTTAATTTACTGTTCTATGTCTGATTTGCTTATTTTTCAATTATGTGTTATCCTATACCTTTAAACGTGCAATTCTTGTATATATATAATCGGAATCTCGGAAACGGCTCCAACGATTGTCATAAAATTTAGTGTCCAGGGAGTTTCGGGGGCAATAAATCGATCTAGCTAGGATTTATTTTTATAAAATGTCTTTTTGACCGTGTTTTCAGCAATGATTTCAAAAGAAACGATAGGTCCATCTAAATATTTTACTCATAACTTTTTCATACAAAAAAAAAGTAACGCATCTGTCATAATACAAACGTTATATCAAAACACTACGTAACCAGAGTCGGATTTCGTAGTATGATTATCCATGATACTATTATTTCATAGTTTGTAGTACACAGTATCATAATAATACTGAGCGAAAATACCATAATTTTACCTAAAGGTCGACTTGTATTATTATTGGGTCCTTTTACATTTTAATATTAACCCTACGATATCGAGAATTTTTGTATTGTACATGAGTTCCGCGTTTTTTTTTTAATAAAATTAGAATTAGCTCCCTTTCTGGTCAATCGATGCTCGATCGATGCATTTATGTTGCATCCTTGATACAACTATAATGAGGGGCTACCACGATAAAAACTCTACGCTCCAGA